GGACTTTACTGAACCTTTGTAATGCTGTTTATCCAGTTGTCCAATGCTTCTCTAGCTTCAGTTTCATCTTGGCCACAGCAAGAATCTACGTCAGCTCCTATCCTGGTCCTCACGTCCTCCATTGACCTTCTAAATTTTGTATTGATACATAAATGAACTATTTGGTTCTCTGTTGTGTGGTCCTGTGAGACTCATCTCAATTTGTGCGGGAACATTGTGCCTTCTATAATCAAATTGTTGAATGTGTATAGGTCCATAATTCTCTCCCCATTTTCGCTTCTTTCTCCTAATAGAAGAGCCAGACCATCTGCAAAGTCTAGATCGTCCAGCTGCATCCTAGATGTCCACTGTATCTCGTGCCTCCCTTCAGATGTTGACGTCTTCATGATCCAGTCGATCATTAGAAGAAAGAGAAAGGGTGAGAGTAAGCAACCTTGCATGACACCGGTCTTTACTTCGAACGCGTTTGTCAGCTGTCTTCCATGCACAATTTTGCAGTTTAATCCATCATAGGAATTCTGTATGATATTGACTATCTTCTGAGGCTAGCCATAGTGTCGAAGAGGCTTCCATAGTGTTGTTCTGTCCACACTATCAAATGCTTGTTTGTAGTCAATGAAGTTGATGTAGAGTGATGAATTCCATTCAATTGATTGTTCCACAATGATCCGTAGAGTTGCGATTTGGTCTGTACACGATCTATCCTTATGAAATCCTGCATGTTGGTCTCCAAGTTGGGCGTCAACGGAGTCCTTCATTCTTTTTAACAATGTGCTGTTGAAGACTATTCCCGGTATTGAGAGAAGAGCGATGCCCCTGTAGTTATCACACTTGCTGAGATCGCCTCACTTTGTTATCTTGGTTAGTTGTCTTTCTTTCCAGTCTTTTGGCACTTGTTCCTTATCCCAAATCTTATTGATGAGAATGTGGAGTATCCTTGCAGTTACCTCTACGTCTGCTTTCAATGCCTCTGCTGAAATGTTGTCTGGTTCTGCTGCTTTGTCACTCTTGATTCGTCTGATGGTCATGCTGATTTCTTCAATTGTTGGTGGGCCAACATCTATTGGGAGGTCCGTGTGTGCTGCTTCGATGTTGGGTGGGTTCAGTGGAGCTGGTGGATTCAAGAGTTCTTTGAAGTGTTCTACCCATCTGTTTCGTTGTTCTTCAATGTTGGTGATTACCTTCCCTCTTCATAGAGTAGATCATGAAGGGCCTGGAATTTATCGCTGAGGGCTATCTTGAATTTGTTGAGTTTGTCAGTATCTTGAAGAAAAGCCGTATATAACGTTTGTACTATTGTACGTCCCATTGTCCAGTACTTTTTGAGTTTCAATTTCATCTTGGCGACCAGCAGGTGATGATCTGGTGCTATATCAGCTCCTCTCTTGGTTCTCACGTCCTCCATCGTCCTCCTGAACGTTTTGTTGATGCAGATATGGTCGATTTGATTTTGTGTGGTGTGATCCGGTGAAGTCCATGTGGTTTTCATAAATGCGTTTATGTGGGAATAAAGTGCAGCCTATGACCAGTCTATTGAAAGCACATAGGTTTGCGAATCTCTCCCATCAGAATGATGAGATCCTTTCCTGAGCACTTCGCTATGATTGATTGCATCCTCTCATAGAACTGATCTTCATTGTCATCGTAGCTATCATTGGTGGGTGAATAATATTGGATAATATTCTTGTGGCACCCTCCTTCTTTGCTTTGAAGGATACTTTGATTATTCTTGGTGCACGAGATTTCCATCCTATATGTGGATTACGTGCTCATTTGGAGAGCATCAGAACAACTCCATGAGTGTGTAGAGTATTTTCCCCTTCATGACCGGAGTACAGAAGCATCTCCCCCATATCTAGCCTTTGTTGTCCAGTGGGTTTCTCTGATCTCATCACTTCCTCAGCTATTTGATCGGTCCACCCACTCTTCCATATTGTCCGGATGTTCCATGTGCCTGTAAACGTTGTTGCGCTGATTGTTAAAAGGGGTATTGGCCTCATGACTTCCGAAGAATATTGGCTTTCACCATGAGGAGTCATAATTCTTCTGAATAAAGATCCTTCAACGCGGAGGACAGGGTTTAGATGGTTTAATTTATTTATTCTGGTTAACGTTTTTTAGTAAGGTTTCTTCTATGGGAATGTGAGTCCCCAAACTGATCTCGTGGCTCGCCGTTGGATACTTTCTAAAGTGTCCTCATCCTTTTGCAAGTGAGGGAGGAAATACTGTGTTTCCAGACTCGAATAAAACTGTTGAAAATTATGTGGAAATTTCTTCCGTCAAACTGACCAAAAATGCGCTTCAATTTTACCAGTGCAAGGTTTGCTCGAAAGGCATCTTGTCACAGATGGCGTGAGACTTCAAATCATAGGGTACCAGCACTTTTTAAATCTCTTTCAACTTCGAATACTTTTAGATGGGAGTCGCCTAAGTTGTAGCTGTTTTATTTTATTTATTTTATTTGAACACATAAATATTGGTACAAGAGGGCACCAAATATATATATGTGCCACACAATAACAATGAGAATTCGAAGAGAGAAAAAAGGTAAGGTGCGTAAAAAAAGGGAACAATAACAACCAGGTTAGTGTAAGGTTGTGTAACAATATCAACAATGGGGGAAACGGAAAGGTACAATCAGAAGAAATCTCTCAGCTAAGGAAGATACTACCACTTTTTATGAAGAAAGTAAAAGAAGGTTACGGCAGGATCGCTACTGGCTTCTATTCTGAGCCATATCTGATAACGTCTCTAGCCACTGTGTTGCACCATCTCTAGGACCCCAACCAGGGAGTCGAGAAGGACTAATAGACGCCATCCCTTTGCAGCCTCCTTCATACACTGACCACCTCTCCACTTTTTCCAACCAGTCCCAGAGTCGGCAACTAATGCACGACGTGGAATTCTCTGGGATGGCATTGGTAGAACATGTCCAAGCCACCGAAGTCGGTGTTTCAAGATGGTGACACCAATTGAATTATCGTCTCTGTGTCCGAACACACGGTGCGGAACCTCTTCATTACTGACATGGTGTTGCCACTGAACGTCAGCAATCCTTCGGAGACAGCGATGATCGAACACAGATAGTCGTCTAACATCCTCGACTCGTAGAAGCCAGGTTTCACAAGCATAGAGCAAAACTGCCCTTACCGACGCGTTGTATATCCAACCTTTTACAGCCAGACTGACATCACCAAGGCGCCTAAGGTGACCCAGATTGGCATAAGCTGCTCTGGCTTTCACTACACGTGCATTGATCTCATCACTCATACCCCCACCAGCACTTATGCAGCTACCCAGATACACGAACATCTCGACTTTTATCTGCTCATCATCCAGGGTGAGTACAGGATTAGCATCCTGCCAGTCTTGCAGAAGTACTTCGCACTTCGAAGGTGCAAAGCACATACCTTACCTACGGACACTGATTGCCAACTGATTAAGTGCGGATTGCATGCCTTGGGCATTATCGCACAGTAAGACAATATCATCCGCATACCCAAGGTCGAGAAGTCTTTCTCCGGGCAACAGATCTACACCGCCATTACTTACATCCATCAGAGCTGTTTCCAGAATGTCGTCGATGGCAAAGTTGAAGAGGGATGGTGAGATTGGGCAACCCTGCCTAACCCCACTGCTCGAATGGAACAATGGAGAGAGGTGGTTGTATGCCCTCACTCTGCCTGAGGTGTTTTTATATAGGGCTTTTAGGATGTTAATAAACTTCTCAGGCACACCCTTCTTCAATAGACCATTCCAGAGAACAGTCCTGTCCAACGAATCGAAGGCAGCCCTGATGTCAAGAAACACTACGATTGTTGGCCTTTGATAAGTATGGCGATGTTCTAACATTTGGCGGGGGGTGAAGATATGATCAATACATCCTCGACCAGAACGAAACCCAGACTGCTCCTCGCGAGTCAATCTTTCTCGGGTTTTGAACAACCTACGAAGTATGACGGAAGCCAATAGCTTGGACGCAATCGGAAGTAGACTTATCCCCCGATAGTTGTTACAGGAACGACGTGAACCCTTTTTAAAGATAGGGACAACTATCGACTCATTCCATGACGTTGGTACACACTCGAGCTTCCAAACCTTTGTAAACAACACAGTCAGTTCCTTAGTCAGAAAGTCACCACCATCTTTAAAAAGAGCAGGAGGTAAGTCATCTGGGCCAGGTGATTTGTAGCGCTTCAAGAGTTGGAGTTCCTTGCGGACTTCCGCCTCATTTGGTGGATCAGTCGTCACCGGCCATGGAGGGAAGGACAGTCCGACCGATGTTGCCGGAGCAGCAGGCCAGTTGAACTGCCCTTCGAATAATCCTGCCCATCGTCCAAGACGTCGATGGATGTTAGTGATTGGCATCCCGTCATCCTCGCAGATTGTTTCACTCACACCAGACTTCTTGCTGCCAGTGGCTCGGATGAGTTGGAAGAGCTATGGTGTGCAGCATGTCTCAGATGGACTACTCTACACTTTGAAGTGTTAAAGGTAATTTCGTTCTAATCTGCCCAACTTTTAAGTCCAGTCAGATCCTCCTGAAGTGCCAAATTATCCTCTTGGTTGCGTACCTCTTTCCAAAGTTTCACATCGTTATAAAGAGGTCTGACGATACCGGTTGTGGAGGATCGTTTATATAAATCAAGAAGAGGTCCTACTACAGAACGCTGAGTTCCTACTACTGAACCTAGCCTGCAAGTATACTATCGAACTTAGGCACTTAAAATGTACGGTGACCACCCCGAGACAAACCTCATAAAACCCCGTAAGCGAAAAAGGTCATTTTAGTTCCAGATTTGCTTTAACTTTGCACCATCTATGTGCGAAACATTTTAAGACTGGCGATATTTCCCTAACTTTCATCAACATTGTCTCACGACAAACGACACGAAAACATTTGTCACAATGTAACGGAACAAAAATTACCCCTATTTGAAGGTCGAAAATGCTAAGATCCTCGTGGCGCTCCGATTAGTCGGTACATTAGAGCGCTGAGAATGAATTGTGACGGCTTTTTCGAGTTGGAGAAAAGTCGGATAGATTACCGCAGTTACAGGTAAGTTCAATAATGTTATTTGACAGCTGAAAAAGGTATATCGAATTGGACAATGGACTGAGGGCTATATTAGTGTCCAACCTAAAGCCTGGGGAGGAAGCACCCAATGACTCCTTATCGGATTCAGATCTTGAAAGTAATAATTCGGAAAGCTTGGAAGACGAAGATGTTGATATTGAAGAAAACCCTATCAGTGACCAGGAGGCGAAGGCAAGATTGAATTATTTCTCTGTCGTTGTTTTTGGGAATGTGATGAAACTAGTCTTTACCGAGAAAGTGTAGGTGATCACCTACCATGGTAGATGGTATCCTCAAGAGACTGTTAGCTCTTGAATTTGCGTCCGAATTAGTAAATATTTTAATGTTGAGCGTACTTTTTGTCGCAGTTTATTAGAAATTGCTCCACACAACTGTATCTTTATTGTTAATAATAACAAAACATAAGACCATAGTCTCTGTTAGCTAATATTAAAAGCTATGTTTGATGAAATTTTAAGCGGTTAAGTCGCAAAGTCTCCAGAATTAATATTTGCAGTGTCTTGTCACAAAAAATGCACTTCCAACATAATCATCTACATAGCAGCGTCATGTGACTTGACCATTTTTTCACCAAGTTTAGTGGATAATGTGTAGTGAAAGTGTCTGGGGATAATGTGTCGATGGCGTTTGAAAATAATTCCTTGTGATATCCTCAAAGGTAATCATTATAGATCAGGTCTCTCTTGTTGGACTGCAACGAATATGAGAATAAACATCTGGATTTAAAAATACATGTTCCACCAAAGTGTTCTAGTCGTTAACATGCTAACGTGGAAAAAGGTACTTAAAATTGAATTTTTAATACTTCAGTCAGTCGTGTGAAACAAGTCATTGTGATTCAAAACAATGCAAAATCGCTATCTATTAAAAGACACTGACGTTAGCTGTGATGAAAGTGTACTGATACACTTTTACACTTTTACTGGGATTAGTTCCTAAGAAATGATGTTCAAACCATCTAACCAGAATTTTTGTACTAATTTGTGTTTCATAATTGTCATCGTGCGTTTACTTCATTCGTCAACACCTGCAAATAAAAGAAGTAATTATTTGAATTTCTGGTCAATAATTGATACAAAAAAGAGGACATTGTTTAATTTGTTGAAATTCATTGCCTTTAGATTTATATCCTATTACGCAGAAAGTAATTGATGTAAGCAAAAATATGTAGTATGTTCATCTTTAGCTTCATGCATGGTCCAATATTGGACATCAATACCTCTTCAAAGGTCAACATGCACTACCTCAATGGATTTCTTAATATCTAGCTCAAACCTTAAATCACAAGCAGGACAAAAATCTTACTTGGCTGATTCGTTTACCTTTAATCTTATCTTTCCAAACCCTGCATATCGTAACTCCGAAGCTGACAGAATGATACTTTGATTCAGTATCCCAATTTTATATATCGAAAATAAAAATAACTACAGGATCTTTAAAGTACTAATCCATGGCCAACATCCGTTGGTAGTAAACATTAGTTCCATCACCGGGGGTCCGGTTGTGATATGAATTTCTTACCAAAAGAGAATTTCACTAATAACATTCGACATACTTTCAGCTTTGCTTGGCTTTGATTCTCTTAAAGTATCTTAATTCTTGTACTTCAAGAGCCAGTGATTTCTCTTATTTCTCTTAGTTCCCTTGTGGAAAAGCAATCATTGGATAAATTTCCTGAGAATCAAAAGAGCTTTAGTGACAATCGGTCTTGTATTTAATAATTTTGCATTCTAATTATTAAAGCAGTATATATGACAGAGTCAATAGTTTTCTTCATAAGAAGAACCGTTAGCAAATAAACCGCAATAATCATACTTCTTTTAGCCACTTAATACTGAAACTTTTATTAATAGTCACGTCAGCTACTTTCTAATCGCGGTGTTGAAAGTGCTCACTATTTTTGTAGCCTAACTTGTAATATGTTGTGTTTTGAATTCCTCAGTCTGCTGCTGCATTGTGCATTAAAGTGGGAAGTTTCTCAGATCCAGTAGAAGCTCAGGGCTTATCACATTTTTTGGAGCATAGTAAGTTTTATTAAGCTAATACTGTTGAAAATTTTGTGTACTTCTATGTATATTTTATACTTGTAAGAAGTACCAATTCCTCATATTTTCTCACTTCTTGAATCGCTACCACTCAAAGGGTGTCAATCTAAGAAAGTAATTGGCTCAGACCAGACCATATAAGAACTTGTTTTTTTTTCATTGTTTAACAGTGATTATTATTTGTGCACATCAGTTTTGATGATATTATAGTTTATTACACAACAGTATAATTCCTCGACTTATCACGTACCTAACTGTTGATAGCTTACATTTACAAAATATTACCTAATTTTTCTCTGTATAAGTCTGTCAGGAGTATACTGTTTTGATTCAAGGAAAGCGTATCCGTGGTAAAAAATCGTGGCATTTGTACTGTAAAATGAATTTACTTAAGGATCAATTTGGTAATTTCTTTCATAAAATACAACATACTATTTGATACAAATCAACATTTAATAATATTACACATATTTTGGTTTTTTTCTTTACAGTGGTATTTATGGGTAGTTTAAAATATCCAACAGAGAATGATTTTGATGCATATCTTAGTCAGCGTGGTGGAACTAATAATGCTTGGACAGGGAATGAATACACTTTATTTCATTTCGATGTAAAACGTAAACATTTTGCTAGTTGCCTTGATAAATTTGCCAACTTTTTCATTTCACCACTTTTGAGCAAAGATAGCACAGATCGTGAGATAAATGCAGTTAATAGCGGTAAGTAAAGTAGTCCTTGAGTATTTATTATGTATATTGTTCTACTAAGAATTGTTTGTATGCATATATAGGCGATTCAACTTCTGTAAAATTGTTATATGAACACTTATTTGACCATTCTAGTATTTTTGTCTCATTGAATTCACACATTTAAAGTATGTCTAAAGTAAGGGATATTCACTTGAAGGCGATTTATGGAGATTAGTTCCATATGTAGGTTGTATTTATCATAGATTTATCTGTATCACTGAAAACCAGGGGACCATTGGGGTGTGACTGGTATTCAGATGTATCAAGAGTGAAACGATTGTCACAAATGTCATTGCATCACCGTATCTGTCACAAATTGATCAATATTGAAATTGTACCGTTATATGCTAGCTCAGTGGTTCTTATGGTTAGACGTTCACTGCAAAACCTGAACATACTGTGTTCAATTCCGGATGTTTGGTTGTGGTCGCACATTACTGAGGAGTCCCATAGCATGACGAACCAGCTATTTAGCATGTTATTTCCGAACGAAGAGTAAGTGAATGGTAACTGCCAAGAGTTATTTGTGGACTATTATTAAATATATTCCTATTGGATAACTATTAAGTAACTAGATTATGTGTATGTTCATATTCGTTTTATCACTAACTTTCGTTTGATCTATTGAACATTATTACACGATTTATTATTCTCAAGTTACTCCCAATCTATTAGTTACAGTCTTACACTCACAGCCGCTCTTGGCTTAATTTTGTATAATTGTTAATTCTCATTTTATGATGTGGTGCGGTCTGATTTGCTTGTATATAAACTACATATATTATTCATACATTTTTTTCTGTTTTACAGAATTTGAACTGGCATACACCAAGGATTCTTCACGACTCCACTATTTAATTGGTCATTTGTCTCGTAAAGATTCTCCCTACAAACTGTTCGGTTATGGTATGTATGTTCATCTTTTATTGGCTAATTTTTTATGTGTATATGGTTCACCCTCCACTGTTCGATGCCTTCAAATGTGAATTATCAAAATTCTTGGTTTAAGCTTGTCGTGTGTAAATTATCTTTAAGATTGTTTCTTGTCCTCTTTTGTTTTCAGGCAATTGTAAATCGCTACGTGAAATCCCGGAACAAAATGGTACTGATATTTATTCACTTTTAAATAAACATCGAAAGAATTTTTATTCTTCTGATCGAATGACACTTGCTGTACAGTCGAAACGTAAGTCTTTCAAAAGTGTGTACACTTTAAGAAGTTGACGGTAGATTTGATCTATGCTTTTAATATGTCTTTTTAAAAATCGGAACTTTCCGTTTGGAAGAGTATTCTGCTACATTTGGATGCTGTTGTATACCTTATTTTATTTCTAGCATACGTGTTAATATAGTAGGATACCAAAAACAGCGGCACAAATGTAGTGGTAATCATATTGTGACTGAAGAGGAAAGCGGCGACTCAGTAAACAAGAAGCGTTTAATAATAGGTTCTGTTCATTTAAAAATACAATCAAGAAGAACTTGGTTGGGTTGGTGAAGTTTGTCTCAATTTTTTCGTTCAAAAAGTTTGATGAAAAACTGTCGGGTTTTATTTCCAACTGTGCCTGATAACGTCTCACACCACTGAGTTTTGTGGTCTCTTGGACCCGAACCATACAGTCTTGATAAACTGTAAAATTCCATGTTTATAGCGAAATATCTTTCATTCGACGGCTTCATGTCATAAGCCAAACATATATACTTTCGTTTGATCCAGATGCAACATCGCAGTGTGAAGTTCACTGAAATTAAATTAATAAAAAACACATTCAAGCTACCGAAATCGATATTTTAAGACTGATAGTGTTGTATCTGAAGATTAAGTTATGGTTAACTTTCAGGAACTATTTATAGACTGTTATATATATAATTTTACTGTATAACTGTTAAGTAACTGGATTATATGTATATTCATATTCTTTTTATCATGAATTTTCATTTGACCTATTGGCTACCATTATACGATCTACTATTCCTAAGTTATTCCCAATGTATTAGTTACAGTGTCACACTCACTTGCGGCTTAATCCTGTATAATAATTACTTCTTATTCTACGGTATGATGCGGTCTGGTCTGCTTGTATTTAAATCACATGTTTAAAATATGTGGTCCACACAGCGGAGACTGAGATCTCATTTTTTACTCAACAGGCGGGGCTAGGCGAGAAGTTACTGTTTTAAGGACCAATAAGGATTCAGAGTTGACGCAAGGCTGCTAGTGCTGTTTTGACGTGTCATTGGTTTACTATAGGGACAGGGTCTGATTGGCGATTTTGTCACGTGATAATTGACAAGGGCAAAAGATATAACAACTGGCAGCGGGAATTTTGGGAGTTCAAAGAAATTAATAACGATGATAGTAGCAGTGAAAAGAAATAATAAGGCACCCTCTTCTGAACAATTACAGTTACTATTATAGCAGTAGCAGCAGATGTTCGCTTCTCAACAGCAAATCCTGGAAGCAGTTTTGGGGAGACTTTCTACTCAAACAGATATTCCAGGAAATAGAGAGTAGAGTCATATCTCAGTCCAATCTCGGAATTTATTTTCGATGCAGATAGTGGTCATAATTTTGAAGCATGGTTTGGCAGAATGAAAGACATTTTCCAAGTACAATTTATCGCTATGGACGACGCAAACATAGACAGTTTATCGTTACAGAAACTTGGTTTCAATAAGCATCAAAAGTATAAAAAGCATATCCTGCCTAAATATCCATGAGAAGTCAATTTCAATGGAACTATCAACCTTTTAAATAAAATGTTTCATGAACAAATGTCACCATTTCATATCTGGTATAATTGTCTACAGTTGACTAAAGAAGCTGACGAAGACTACACTGCGTACGCTGGTAGAGTAAATTTACGAATAGAACGGTTTAAATTAAATGTATTATCCAGTGATCAAGTTAAATGCTTATTACTCACTTCCGGTCTAAACTCTCCCATCGATGCTGACTTTCTCATGAGGTTGTTATCCCGTATGGAACTTGACAATGAAATGACCCTGAAAACTGTTACTGTTAAACGCCAACGATTAATGCAATACGAGGCACGACCCGTGGACGTGGTATGGCAACTCAAACTGATGTACGTACGTACGAAGTTCTACGTTGTTACTGACTGACTGACTGACGTGGACGGGGTTAAACAAGCTCGCAGCACCCGTCCGGAGGTGAAAAATACAGGCAATTCCATTGGTCTCCGTTTAGAGACCGTTGAAGAAATTACACTGCAAAGAACAGATACTACACATGATCTTAGCTCAGAGAGCCGAAAAGCATGGCACAAGTCCATGACGTCACTGACAAGTGGACTGAGCCATGTTGGTAGGTGTAGACTACCTGGTTGGGGACCGCGAGATGAAAGCAACCGATGGTTAGAGACCCTGAATGACATGGCTGAAAATCGTTTGGAATGGCGCAGGTGCATCCGCTCTTTGTGTTCTCCCAAATTCTAATCTGAATTATTCATGTTCCCGTTTTCCTTTTTCCAAATTTATTTCACTGTATTATACTCCTTGAATAACATCTTCAAACCCTAATCTTTCCGATTTCTGCTTATACTCTTACCACCTCTACCACTACGGGATTCGAATCGACAACTGCATCTCTATGCTAATGTGGTGTGGCAACTCTAACTGATGTACGTACGTACGAAGTTCTACGTTGTTACTGACTGACTGACCAACGATTAATAAACCTAAAACAGAGTACAGCTATTCTGGAAACTAAGAGTGCGGTTCCATCTAACCATTCTGTTCATGCTGTTAAGACAGGTTAAAGACAAAATAGTACCAAGAGTTATAAATTTCACTCTAAAGTTTTCAAACCTTCAACTAAATGCTTGGAATTTCTCAGAAATTTGCCGGTTTAGAAATCACGGATTTTCTATATGCAATAAAGTCGGTCATAAAGAAACAGTCTGCCGAACTAGAGAAGTTTGAGGTCAAGGCCGATGAAGCATCTTCACCAGTATCAAAACTAGTATATAAACAGTATATATGCTACATTGGGATTAAGCATAGATGATAAAAGAATGCATGTTGGATTATTATTTAATGGTGCTGATATTCGATTACGATTGGATACAGCATCGGATATCAAGTTAATTTCTAAACGAATATATAGTTTAACTGACTGTTCACAAGAACTGTCAACTGAGAATACAGCTCGGAATGCATCTAGAGACTTATATTAAGGCTTTTTGGAATAATAGAATGGTTTGTTGTATTCCGAGACAACTACTTCAAAAGCAATTGTTACTTAACGAACAGACATGATTTTAACCTTATTAGTATAGATTGGATGGACAAACTAAATCTATGGGACAGACCATTGAGCGAAATATGCTCGATGAAAAGCTCAAATAATTCTAGATATCTGCCTATCGTTCATGTAACTGAAAAAGCTATGACGATAGAAGATCGTTTGCGGAAACATACAAACTTATTCCGGAATAAGTTGGGACGCTGCATAGTTGGAAAGGTAAACTTGTACTTAAGACAAGATATGAAACCTGTTTTTCGTCCAAAACGTCGAGTTCCATATGTAGCTAACGACGAAGTTGACAGAGAACTAGATCAACTACAGAAGCTCGGTGTTATACAACCTATTAACCATTCGACATGGGTAGCACCAATTGTAGTAATTCATAAAGCGAACGGAGCTATTCGCCTTTGTGCAGATTTTTCAACAGGATTAAATGATGCTTTACAAAACCATTCATATCCACTACCTTTGCCAGAGAATTTATTTGTTAAATTAAACAGTGGACTTGATTTATCCGAAGCCTACTTACAAGTGGAAGTTGACAATAATTCAAAGGAGTTATTAACCATTAATACCTACCATGGATTCTATCAATTTAACCGAGTACCGTTCGGTGTAAAGCCAGCTCCAACTGTTAGGCCGGTTAGACGTTGTGTTTACTAATATAACGCCAGCTGGTTTTCAGTTACAAAATGAAAAGTGTGGATTCCTCGAGTCTGTCAAATAACTTGAATATGTATTTGATAAGGATGGTCGCCGCTCAGACGCAGATAATATAAATGCTATAAAAACATGCCCAGACCGACTGATGTTACAACGATCCATTCATTTTTGGGGTCAATTGGTTATTATGGTATATTCATAGCTTACATGTGTAGATTACGACACTCATTAACCCAACTTTTGATGACTAATGCAACATGGCACTGGACAAAAGAATGTCAAAATTCTTTCGACGAACTAAAACGAATTTTGTCTTCTAAATTGTTGCTTACCAGTTATGATTCAAAGCTTGAAATAATTGTGGCCACTGATGCTCCCAACTATGGAATTGGAGCTGTCATCAGTCAGCGTTTTCCTGATGGTAAAGAAAAGCCCATTGCTCATGTATCCCGAACTCTTAATGTAGCTAAACGAAAATACAGTCAAACTGAAAAAAAAGATTAGCTTTAGTTTTTGCGGTAAAGAAATTTCATAAAATGATTTATGGTCGTCGATTTACTTTTTTAACGGATCACAAGCCGCTCATATCTGTACTTGGATCGAAGTCGGGTATTCCTGCATATACAGCAAATCGATTATAACTCTGGGCTATTACATTACGTACCTATGGCTTACAAATTTTATATAAATCAACAGGAAATTTGGATAAGCTGATGCTTTATCTTGACTACTTGCGAATCAGAAACAAAAAGGTGAAGATTCTATTATTTCAACGATATCGTTGGAAGAGGATATTCATCAAATACTACAAGTTGCTGTAAAAGCAACACCATTGTCTGCTGAAGATATTAAATGCTATACTCAAGAAGACGACGAGCTGAAACAGATTATTAGTTACCTCGAGCATGGGTGGTCTATTCATATAGACAACAAATATAATGAACATTATGCTCATTGACGGATTTCTCTATCACTCGTGGACATATGCCTGATGTTTGGACATCGGGTAGTTATACCCACGAGCTTACGTCGTAAGGTGATGTTAGAACTGCATGCTGTACACACAGGGATAGCGCGGATGAAAGCACCTGTACGTAGATACGTCTACTGGCCAAATATTGATGTTCAAATCGAAGAATATGTTGCGAAATTTTCTGCATGTGCTCAAACCTCGAAAGCCTATCGAAAGACAAAAATGAAACGTTGGGGAGCTACGACAAAGCCATGATCATAAGTGCACGTGGATCTTGCCGGTCTCATAAAGGGGAAACAGTTCTTGGTAATTGTTGATGCTTTCTCCAAATGCTCAAAGTTCACTACATGAAGTATGTATTGACGGAAGCTACTGTGGGAAAATTGAGACAGGAATTCAGCTTGTTTTGGTGTCCAGATGTATCGGTGTCGGATAATAGACCTCAGTTTACTTCTGTGGAATTTTCCAGGTTTTCCATCGCCGGTGCCGTTAGGCATATCGAGACACTTTCTCTACTGTCTTCAGTATAACGGGTTAGTTGAGAGGTTTGTGGGCAGCTTTAAAAAACACTGCTTAGATCTGAGGGAGAAGGAGAAGGAAAGGATGTCATTCAAAAACTTTTACTAACCCACAGCACAATTCAGAACCTAGCAACAGTTAATCCCGGAAGTCCAACAGAAGCAGTTTTGAAGAAAAATTAGAGTACCAATAGAACAGATAAAATCAAGATCCAAACATAGTCTGTGCAACGATAAACGAGTGAAACAATGAACGATATGGTGCATTGTTTAGAGAGTTCGATGTGGGGCAAACGGTAGTAGGAAGAGATTTCCATGGAGTAAAATCAACTTCAAAGATTGGGACTGTGGTCTTCAGAAAAGGAAACGTTATTTCTGAAGAAAAAGTCGGAGAACAGATATGGGTGCAGCATGCAAACTAACCTCGGCCGACTAGACAAGAGTGGGAGACTGGGAGTGATTTAATTCCGGGTATACCATTAAACATATTAGCGGAATTAGATAATGAAACTAAAAGGGACCGAAGTAACAAGAGAAAGTGTACGATACCTCAAAGGTGATCTCAGCGCACTGAATAGCTGTTTTTCCCTAATATGAAACTCATCAACGATGCTCGTCCACAATCTCGCCGGTACTCGAAGCCGGTTAGTAACATATTAATTGTATTGAGGATGGTTACGCAATGTTGCGAACTAACTGAGGTTAGACGTGTAAATCGTTAGATGCTATGTCAATGGTTCAAACGTTGAGTGTTCATCGTTAAATCTGAATGTTTTTGGTTTGATCTATGGTATCGTAAATGCATATTGCTAAGCAGTCCCATATTGTGAAAAAATAGCTTTCCAATACTTTCTGACTTTTAATGATTTTTTTTGAACTCAGGCCGTTTCACACTGTAAACGATCAAGTTCAATAATCTCATTTAACATATTTTGATCGTGAGTAAATTAGTCAATATTTGTACAACTAATTTACTTGCTCTTTTTAACCGTAAATCTAAGCACAATCCAACTCGACAATATCGTCTTACTTTAGTAAATTTTTGAAATCACGTGTAAAAAATTCATCAGCATTTAGCTAATCAGTCTCTTCACGTAAAAAATAACATTATTGTTTACTTAATCACTCCCAGCCGTTGAATGCATAATGAATAATTAGGATATTTGTTTAATTTTAACATTACACAATATATATTGCAAGTTGTTTCTCATTTGACTAGAAATCGTAAATTAGTTGTTTGAATTCTCAAATATCAGCACTGGTTAGGATAACTGAAATATTGGAACAAAACAGCGTCGAACATGTAAACTGAAATCCGAAAATATCTTGATTGTTAAGTTTCGTAATTCATTTTTAACAAGGAAAAACGTAGTTGTGTAGTTTGAATAGAATCGATAGAGATTAGCGCCGTACAGTAGTAGTAGTAATAGTTACTCACCTCTTACAACGCTCTTTTCCACCAGAATTAAACTTTTGTTAATAAAATATTCAAGCCTCATGTTTATTCAAATTCAATTAGTTTATTTGCTTGTTTTTTTAAAAAAAACTCACTTTTCAGATCATTTAGACGATCTGGAAGTATTGGTACGAAAAATCTTCTCTGATATACCAAGAATGTAAGTTGTATGATAACATATTATCACTACTAAGAACTTTCACCTAATAGTAAATGTATTTTTTTATGTCCCAATGAGTGGAAAAGTTGTATTCTTGATGTAAGCCACTTCTTTACTCTGAAGAAGTGGTTAAGATTAAGTCACAAAACACCAATCTTTCTACTCATTGGGACATAACAAAAATATATTCATTGTTAACTTCCCATTCAATACTCAATTTATTTGAAACTATCAAGTTCAACCTTGGTATTGATACCCGTAAACTTTCAACTAAATTTGAATGAATAGTTTCACAGTAGTTGGGTGCCAATTTAATGTAATACATTAAGGAAGAAAATTATGTTTGTCAAATCTCAGCGATTGAATTTTAAGTAAATCCAACTGTTCGCACTTAGTTATCTGGTTCAAACTTTTTTCAAGGAAATATAACCAAACATCAAAATTATCGAATATAAATAAGTACATGGTTCCCTGGCTAACTGTATACTAAACAGGTCATCCGATTATATTGGCAATGTTAAAAGTAAAACGTTTGCTGTAGTACCTATGAGATTCCTGGTGTGTAATGAAAAGTATGTTTAGATAACATACATCTGTTTGATTATATTTCCTTGGAAAAGCTTAGACCATATTTCTGAGTGAAACATTGGATTTACTTAAAATTCAATCGCTGAAATTTTACATGTATGATTTTCATCCTTAATTTATTATGAATATTATTCCATAAAATGCTTCGTAGTGTAAGGGCTATGTAGAGATTGTCGTATTGCATAGTTCACATCACAAACTGACCTTAGTTATACAATCATTGAAAAGTAAGAAGGACTACACGGCTGTTTCGTCTTAGTACTGTAATAGTGATGATCAAGAGTTAATTCCTGAAATCCTACTGATAAACCGTGACCTATGGAGTTCAACCGTGTTGGATATGAGGCTTTTATCCACCAATGACATTGGTACGTGGTTGCGCAATATTACGAACTGACCGAAGTTGTAGATGTGAAGTATCGGATGCCAACTCATTGGTCTTATAGTTGGACACTCATGTCGATGCCCAAAAGTTCTGGTTTTGGTCGACGGTGGCGTCGTGGCTATGCACTGCTGGGTAGTCTCACAGTAGGACGAAATAGCCTTCTAATAATTCCTGGTTTTCAATGGTTGTCTAAGTACGATCATTCCGTGATGTAAGCCGTAGGCACCAAACCGTTGAATACAACACCTTACTCTACCTAAATTAAGATGGGAAATCAGATAATCTTTTTATAATCCCTACACACAACAAATGTATGGTCGTACACGTGAACCTTTGTATAGTTACTGAATGACATTAGAGTAGGAGCCGTATTTTTTGTGAGAGTGAGTGAACACTACCTTTATCATCTGATTGCGTACATCTTAATATGTAGATAATTATAGTTGCAAACTGCTATCCCACTGCATACGGAATGTTTAATTTAATAAACCATAGTTTTGCTAAGGCGCATGGATTGACTTGATATCCTGACACTTTCTTTTGTACAAAATTAATGCAAGTTGAAATTCTACATGTATATGTTGGAAATAAGAAATTCCTAAATGCCAACTTATAAGGATTTAAGGTGAACTCAAGGTCAATTTACAACATATTTTCGTTACATTATTCTGTGAGTTTACTCAGTTCATAAATTAAAAACATAGTCATCAGTTTGTAGCTAATTAATTTATGCAGTTTTTTAATTCTTTGTGGGTCTCGTTCGGCAAAGCTTGTATATAGAAAATATACCTCCCACTGTATATGACGGGGCGTAGGCGAGATATTCGTCTATCAACCAAAGGACGGGTTCGTTCCGTCCTACTTTATGGCAGTGAAACGTAGCCGGTAAGAGTAGAGGATATTCGTAGGTTGCTAGTATTCGATCATAGGTGTCTTCGAAACATTGCTCGTATATCATGGGACCATCGAGTAAGTAACACAGTTGTTAGGAAACGGGTACTAGGTAAGGATGGCAAATCAATTGATGAAGTAGTGAAACTTCATCAGTTGAGATGGCTGGGACACGTGTTACGTATTTTATTTATTATTTTATTTCAACACATGGATATTGGTACAAGAGAGCGCCAATATATATGCGCCACATAATTTTGTGTGTGGGCTGTGATACTGCCAGGGTGCCCAAACCGAAGCAGGTGGTTATCTTAGGGGGCCACACCCCGAGCCTTTGACCTAAAGGTCTAACCCACAAGGCAGTGGAGCATCGTAAGGAGATGCCCAACGACCGACTACCTCGACGTGCGATGTTCAGTGGCATAGGAGTAGGTTGGAAGAAAGCTAGGGGCGGCCAAGCCAAAACATAGCACAAGTCCATAAAGTCACTGACAAGTGTACTGAGTCATGTTGGTAGGTGTAGACTACCTGGTTGGGGACCGCGAGATGATAGCAACCGATGGTTAGAGACCCTGAATGACATGGCTGAAAATCGTTTGGAATGGCGCAGGTGCATCCACTCTCTGTGTTCTCCCAAATTCTAATCTTCTGAATTCTTCATGTCCCGTTCTTTTCTCTTTCTAAATTTATTTCACTGGATTATACTCTTTAAATAACATCTCCAAACCCTAATCTTTCCGATTACTGCTTATACTCTTATTACCTCTACCACTAAGGGATTTGAATCGACAACTGCATCTCTATGCTAATGTGGTGTGGCAACTCTAACTGATGTACGTACGTACGAAGTTCTACGTTGTTACTGACTGACTGACTGATATGACGGGGCAGGAAAGAAGAGGATAAATGTAGTCTCGTTTATTGTGTTGGAGTTGGAGATACAAAATGGCAGTTCAGCATACGAGTAGCATATAATCTAAATTCATAAGTTAATCGAGTAGCAGATACAAAGAGGTCTTAATGGCTTTGCTCATTTATAACTAAAATAGAACGAGAACGATATGATTAAAAAATATCAAATAATCACAATCTTACTTAAATAGTACAACCAATAAGTATGTCGTTGTCGGGCTTCAACCATTACTCCTGTAAGCTCTTCTCCACGGCAACAAAAGTGTTCAAACTATTAATCAGTACCTTCGACATACTTTAGAATTATACTTAAACATATCCTTTAATAACTTGATTGGATAAACGATGATGCCTAGTGATCAAGGGGTTCGAGTTTCAGTCACTAAGTCTCTGGTTTGAACTTCATTTCACTTCGGTTTGGGCAATTACGTAATATCATCAGCCCTCATATTTAGGATGCTCAAGTACATGTTGAATGAGTTTTATCTAAATATAGTCTTCTCTGAATGCTTTCAGAATCGTAAAGTTATCTATCACCCTTATAAATAATCTTTAATCTGCTCCCAAACCCAAAATATGGGGGCGGGTTCCTAACATGATATTTATTTATTTAAACACATATATATTGGTAAAAATGAGCGTAAAAGTATGTATGCGCCACACAATAACGATACGATCGTAAAGAGCTAGAGAAAGGAGGATGAGTATAATAAAAAAGGAATAGAAATCAATGTGTGAGAGTAAAGTAATAATAATAGTACTACCAGAAAGGATTCTTTTAGTTGAAGAAGTTACGTTCATTTTTATGAAGAAAGTAAAAGAGGGTTACAGCAAGATCGCCACTAGCTTCTATTATGAGACATGTCTGATAACATTTTAAGCCATTGTATCTTACTATCTCTAGGACCCCAACCGATGAGTCTTGGAGGTTTAACAGATTTCAGTCCTGTACAGCTTTCTTTCATACCACGACACTGTGTCATATACTTACCATCTCTCCGCTTTTACCAACCGGTCCCATAGTCTGCAAATAATGCAAGGTGTGGAATTCGTCGGGGAAAGCTGTTAACAGAGCGTTGTCATCTCTGTACCATATAGATCACATAAAATATTACTATGACAAAACTAAGTTGATAGAATTATCTTTTGACAACAGTTGAACGAAAAATATCCATCGAGTTAGTCTTGAATTGTAGTTTTGATAATATAATGCTTATTTACCTTTTGTTCTTGTGTTTCTTTTTTATTGTTTAATTCTAGTGGACTACCTGTGACAAACTTTAAATGTGTTGAACCTTTCGATATTAATTCATTTGCTAAATTATACAAGGGTGAGTATAAAACTATTTCATTAAATTAAATTGATTTTCTATACATGTATTTTTTAATCGAAATTTCGTCACAAGCTAACATTGTCGGAAGAACCATTGAAAATAAATTAGAGCTCAACAATAGTTGGAGTTCATTCATCATGTCATCATACATAGACACGAATCTAAAATCTTACGAGCTCTCTCTTACTATCCGTAGGCTAAAACATGATTGATTCCACTTAGAAATCCTCAGATGGGCAACACTTTTAACTTCAGTTTATTATTAATAAATTATTCGGGTGATCTTTTTTATATTTTGACTCCTAATTCCAGAGTTGTAGAGGTAGTTATAGTATTAGTTGTAGTAGAAAATATTAGCTATGAAAGATCAGATTATAGAAGAAAATATGGATTAGTGGAATAGAACAGTCTATAGTCCATTTAGAAACTTAGGATCTAATAGAAGACAAAAAGGGAATGCACTTGCGTTATTGCAAATAAGTTTAATTCATTTTATCCAGTCTCTAACCGTTGGTTACGATAATTGTGTGAACCCCAAACAAATAGTCTGCATCTACCGACATGTCTCAATCCAACAGTCAGGAACGTCATGGAACAGTGCCACGTCTTGATTTTACTACTCGTAACTTTCTTCCAACCTGCTTCTCCACCAGCCGTTATTTCGCGTTGAGTTAGTCTCTGGCTGCTGGGCATATGTGATACATCTCCCAGCCACCTCAGTCGATCAAGATTCACTACCTTATCAACTAATTTGTCATACTTATCTGGTACTCTGCGTCCAACCTCAGTATTACTAACTAAACGGTTGCAACATACGCGAGGAATGCTTCTAAGGGATTTATGATCAAATATTAGTAACCTATGAATATCCTCTATTTCTACGGTAAATGTTTTACAGTGAGACTATAATTTATGGACGACCTTTGAGTGACGCTAAAATGACCTTAAAAATGTTCACTTACTAACTAGGACTAAATGAAGACTATAAAGCAGTGTGAGGAATTAAGATTATGATTCAAAGTTGATGGTTAAGGTTAGGAACTAGGTTTAAGGTTTTCGTTACGAACTGGCTTCAGCTAGAATGCCAAAACGCTATCTAGCCAAACGGATGACTGAATTTCCCGCCAAAATCCAGGATCTTTCATCTTTTATCTGATTGGCTCGTCCATAAATTACAGTCCACCATGTTTCACGTCTTTCTGTAGTTCTACTACTACTATTACTACTATCATTACTGTTGTGGATGAGAACATAGGTGGAGACAACCGGTTGTAATTAAATACAAAATTACAGAATATCTTGGTAAAATGTGAGAACTATACATTAAATACTTCATTTACAAATTTTCATCATTTGTCTTTCACATTCTGTATGACTCTTCCTACTCTCGATTCCTTTCTATTTTCTTTTCTATTCTCTTCAAATTGATCTTATTAGCCTTCGTCTGCTAAAGTTACATACTACTTATGTCTGTCGACATAAGTAACATACACCACACTACTACTACGTAATATCATCTGAGTTGAACTATAAATATCTGTCAAAGGACTCGTTGTAAATACCAAAAAATGACTGAACTACCTGAATTGCTTTTACATATAAATTTGGTAACGAATCAATAGCGCAAAACATGTTTAGTTAAGAGAGGTAACATTGAAGAACACATTAAATGTGTAGGCGAATTTCGATTGCCTAAAAATAAAAACGAAAATCTAAGTTTATAAAATTAAAAAAATTGGTCTATAAACAGGGTTGGAAGATTTAACCGTTTTCAATATTCCGATAGATACAAAGCGCAGTGCATATACAATCTGAAGTTTTGTTTTGTATCTTTTTTATTTAAATATGTAAACATTAGTGCAAGGAGGCACCAAATATATATGCGCCACACAAATCATTCGATTTGTATGAGGACTGGGATACTATCCAGGCTCCCAAACCGAAACAGGTGGTTTTCTTAGAGGACCACACCCGGAGCCTTTGACCTGGAGGTCTACTCCATAAGGCAGTGAGCAACGTTAGGAGATGCAGTTCCATGGTAGCCGGTGACCAACAATGAGTCCATATGCCACTTGTTCCCATAAGATCCTGAAGCCTGTGTGCACCATTGGTTTGGAATGAAGGTTTTCCAACTACCCTAGATGGACCCTCCATATGCACCAATCCGGTTAAAGCTCTCGACATTCGCTTTTCGTCCCCTCAATTCGGTAAACAACGCCGGTGCCGCAAAAAGGCAGTGAGTAGGACTTCCCTGGCAGTGTCTGTATACACATGACTATATGAGAGCATTTCGAGAGGGAAGGCGGACTCTTCTTACCCTCGAGCCGTACCAGGGCATTTGTTTTATATCGTAATGTTACCGTAAGATGCTTTACATCAATCAATTTCTAAATAACTTGGCTTTCAAACAGTAGGCTAGGTAGTTTGGTTTAAAGGTCAATTTGCGTACTTTATATTGCCCAGTGGATTAGCATTACTATACCTCACATAAATAAAATGTATCTCAGAATTTCGAGTGAACAAACTTATGCATGATTGATAAAGTATTGTCTAAGTTCTAGTGAGAAGTTTAAGCTGATGGAGTTTAGACAGGTTGGCAGTGAAAGAATTATCTACTAAATGGCATTGGATAGTCGTCGCGCTATATCGCGAATTGACTGGAGTTACCTGTGCACTAATAGACGTCATTCAAATAGTTATAATAATCATGAGTTTACTGTGAGATCTGAAGGTCTTGAATTCGATTCCTGGTAGGTTCATGAATGCTCACTGCTAGGGAGTACCATACTAATACTGAAACAACTATCTGGTGCTCCCTAATTTTCAATCGTACCCTAACTCAAATCAGTCTGTACTACATACTACCTATCCAGTTTAAAAAATCTACAAATAACTGGCTAGTATTTAAAAAGAAAATCGCTACTATAATTATTAGTTGGATTGAGAAACTTGTTACGCTAGCTTTCTATTTGCATGTTTTTCATCAACATTATATGTAATTTTCTTTCTGTATTTTTTGTTTTGTTTTCTAATGATGTTAACAGTTTGTCCTTTGAGTGTAAAAGAGAAAATACGTATTGTCTGGATTCTTCCTCCACAAATCAATCATTATGAGTAAGTTGTATTGATCATAATGATGAGTTTTACCAGTTAGTTAGCTGTTACTTTTGTTATCGTGGTAAGTAATTGTGATTATTTCTAATAGTGTGGTTGATTGAAACACGTGAAGCTGCGGTTCAGTGTTATTGTTGGTCGTGGAGATGTCTTACTGTCAGTTCGACTCCCTCCCAACTACTTCAATCTGTATACTTGGTTTCATTCAGTTACTGGTCCTATTATTATTATTATTACTCGAAATGAAATGTATGAATCTGTGTACTCATTTATTGTATCAATTTGATTTAGTTGTCATTTGAACGATCAGTAACATATTTGTATGTTGTTTACCGTTCTTCTGAATTCTTGTATCGTCGACTTAAGAAAATTTCGTATATATGTAGTGTTAGGCTAATTCTCATTGTGTTATTGGATTTACTCCCACTCAATAATCCCAAAAGATAAATATAGTTGAAGTTTGAATCAATATGTTGCAAGTCACTTAACTCAACAAATCATACATTTATTAGTCAACTGAATGAAGAGGAGAGAGGTTGGATGGGTTGTTTTGTGAATATCAATATGAATACATAAATGAGTTATGAATAATTGACTGAGTGCATTCACAACCAATAAGAGAATAGATGTAAAATTGATTGATCACTAAGTTATGACCAATGTCATATTTGTCAAGTCCTCCTTAATGCTGATTGAATTTTATCGATCATGTTGCAGTGCGGCCACTAGTCTAAGCGACTCGACATCGCGTGCACTATGTTGAGATGTAAGTTGGTAGTTGAAAGTAGTGGATAGGAAACTTTGGACTTAAGTTTCATGTTATTCGGCACTTGTCAGCAAGGTGCACCTGTAATCTTGGCGCCATTAATGCTCGATATAATTCGATCAGCACTGAGAAGTACTCGGTATTTATGATGTTGGTCACTACTCAATGATCAACCAGTTATAAATAAATCTCAGCCATACAGGAGGTCAATCGTGGCCCGAATAACTCAGTTGTAAAATCTTTGACTCCAAAGTTGGGTGACACGGAATCGAATCTATCATGGAGTATCGTTCTCCTTGAGATCACAATTAATTATTGCTGGCGAGTGTTGATTAGTTCGAAAAGTAGGTGGAGTAGCGTTTCCTGTCGACTACCTCCAACCACCACCGTAAAAGAGAATAGGTAAAGATAGTTAACAAGCATGCATGTATTTCAAACATATATGGGTATATTTCCATGGCAGATTAAATATATGTATCACCGTTAAGTGATTAACGTAAATGTAATGGTATACTTGTTTTCTCGATTGATGATCGTCATTACATGAGTTGAGGTAGTTGAGATATTGTCCGGAAGCCTAAACTAAGGGATGTATTTTTCTTTACGGACTATTCACCTAATTTCCAACTTAGAAGTCGAATTCACTAAGTGGCTCAATGTTAGGAGTTGAGATCCCACAGTACCAGTAATTAAAGGATGTTCGCGGCTCAGACATTCTCTTAAGACCCTGGAACCTCTGTGCGACATTGGCTTGGAACTAATATTTATCAACTGTCCTGGATATGGGACTTCTATATCCACCACGGAAATTTGACCTCCTTATTTTTTTTAAAAAAAAGCACTTCAGTTTCATGTGAGCAGTGAATCAAACCTTAATACAAAACACGGGGTTTTAGGTGTAAGCATTTAGAGAAGGTAATTAAACTCTTATCTGTGCTAGTCATACCTAGGCGATGTAATTGAGTTATTCACTCACAACGTCACACATGTGATCCGTTGTCAGTTAACAGTTGGGAAATTTTCTAACTTGTTCTTCAAACATGTGTTTATTCTTAGTCTAGGTATTTCAACTCAACAATTTAACAGATTTGCTGTTTTCTCATTGATAACATTTATAGTTTAACTATATATTCAAAATAAAATACATCGCATAAACATTGAAGTGCTATTATTTTGTATTACATCATGTATTTTTCCCGCTTCACTTCAGATCATCTCCAATGGAAGTATTATCTTCTCTTATTGGTCATGAAGGTAGAGGAAGTGTATTGGCCTTACTTAAAAAAGAGTAAGTATTGTGTATAATTATCATTGCATGCATTATGAACTGATGATCTGTAAATGTTTCATAGATGCAGACTACTTGGCTGTGAACTGTTTGATAATCACACTATCAGTCGTTGAATTGGATTACTTGGCTTAAAATCAATGGTAATAGTACACAGATGTATCCATTCTTCTTCTTACTGTAAATCTTGAGTTCCGGTTGTTTTTTAATACTTCCCTCTTCTCGAATTAATATTCTCTATATTCGTTTTTGTATTGTTTGTTTGAACCGTCTGATTGATGTTTAGGACTGAAATTGATCAGTCGCTTATTGGCATATGTGCATCCTGTGCGGATTGCCCTGATGTTGCTCTAAGTCACAAGTATTATAAGCATAAGTGGATGGCGGTTAGCAGTGGAACCCAGGACGGTCGTCCTGTCCTATCTGGATTCGATTCCCAGAGTTAGCACCAATTCTGGGATGCAGGTGCATCTAGGTGACGAGTCCCAAATGTGACGGGACGTGCGTCCTGGATTCCACCGCCAGACACCAACCATCTTTGCTCATTTTCTATATTGTCTCTAGTCTTGTTATCATTGCTATAATAATTGTTTCAATCTGTTTATGATTTATCATTGTATTATGATATGAACACTTAGATTAATATACATTTCATTCAGGCTCTACAATGATTACAATTGATTTATCCTTAACCCCAAAATTAGTCATCAAATTATCCAGTAATTGTTTTTTACATTTTTCTCCGATAGTATAACCTATTTATATATACATACTAAATAATTCAAAATCGTGTTTCTTTGTGAGTTTTCCAACCATGTATCTGTAGGTTATAGGTGTGAACATTATTCCGCTTACACTTCAATTTGGTAACAACATAATACCGTTATAACCGTAACATAGGAGTGTGGGAATGCAGTATTGTTCAAAGCCGTTTGCACAACTGTGTACTTGCTAAATGTTTGCTCTTTATTTTTCAACCCACCAGGTCCACAGATTCGTGTTCTTGGCTTCGAGTTACACTCTGAATTTGAAGGCTAGTAATACACTACTTGGTTTCCCTGACAAAACTAGATGGAGCGAGGGTTCAAACCTTCGGCTTATCGACTAAAAGTTGAATACCTTAGCCATTAAGTCACTGGTTCATTTTATGAGTATATTGATCACAACAGTAATTTGGTTACACTTGTCTAACTATTCTACCATACAGAGAATCATTTTTTTTTCACTAATAAAATTTCATATCAGCAATTTTCATTTAATACAAAACAAGGGATACATAAAATTGTTGTGTTTCTGTCAATCTCAGTTATCATTTCTATAATCATTAATCAGCATGATATCTATCTACCTATATAAATATATGTATATGTTAAACTTATCATTATCGACTTAATTATCACTTAGACTCTTACATATTTGTAGTTTTATTACATAACATTAGTCTTATAAATTGTTATGAATATTCTAAAACTCATACATGAACCATGTCAAAAAGGTGGTGACATTATAAATACCTTAATAATACTCAACAATTTGATTAGTTCCAAGAAGTATCATTGAATGATCTTAGTGTAGGAGGGTTGCGTGTATGTGTGTGTGTGTGTGCGAGTGTGTATATATAACGATTTTCTGTTTTGTTTACATGATAATAATAACATGTCATGTATGTATTGATTGTACCATGCATTCTTTTCAGTAGATCTTATCAAAAATGATAAATACCAAAATACACTAACAAAAAAGAACACTATTGAAGATGTATGTTTTCATTAAACAGTCGAATCGTTTCATAGAAATTTATTAATGGAATAGAAAAGAATAAAGTAATAGGGATGGTTTTCAGTAATTAATGGTGTGTTGTATATATTGTGAAGTGTTTGTAAACAATGTTTATATAGCTGAAAATAGGAGTACAGTGGAAACAGCTGTTTAACTGCGGTATTGTGATTTACTTGAACAGTGCATACACATACAAACGCATAGTAGTATTTTCTTTGTAAGAAATGGTGGATAGTGGCTAGCATTGGAATCGAGGACGCGCGTTTCGTTCCATTTGGGACTCGTCAGCTGGATGTACCTGCATCTCAGAGTTGATGTTCATCCTGGGACTCGAACCCAGTACCATTCGCTTCAAACGCCATCGCGTTATCCGCTCGGCTACTGAGTCCTGATAGCCACTTGCTTGTGCAATAGGGTGAATTTAAATTCAATTGATATTGTTTGGCTTGTATCTTCCAGTGAGGTTTAAGACTGCAATAGATCAGTCTGTTATTGGCATATGGAAGATATAAGCCAAACAATACCAAATGAATTTCCACTCAGTAGTATTTTAAAGCAATACTCTGAGTTTTTATACCGTGGTTCATATTACAGAATTCAGCTTTTATGATTATTGGAGAAAGTTACTACCTCGTTGTGTAAATTAAAGAGTATTCGAGTCTGCATGTAAGTGTGTGAGTTGTTCCATTGTTGATATTAAGAACTATAATTTCAATCAGTCTCTGTTACATACACATGGATCCTTTTCAGGATTACATTGATCTATAGTTTTGTAGTTACAAGATTTATTATATTTGAACTATAACTTGTAGTAGAAATCAAAACCGTCGTTTATTGTTATTCCGATCTTCCTAGCTGGATGTTGTAGTTCATATTGAAACTCCAGTTCGGTCTTTTTTTCTCCAAACTTCAGTGTTATCTACTGAATTATGAAGTTCAAACCACCATTAACTTGTTCAACGCATATGAACTTATGCATGTAAAATGTTTTCAGTTTTTCTGTGACCATTTCTCAACCCACTCTTTTTTTAAATACAAAGAAAAGAATTTGTTCATTCTAATTGATTGCCTCAAAGCTCACCGTTCAATTAACCCGGCTAACTTCACTAAATCGATTGAGATATTAATTACTCAAATCCTATCAATTGTTGTAATGCATGATTCAATAATTGAGTTTAAGAGTAATCTGTGAAAGCCAACAAAGTGTCATAAAAATATTGACTTTATTTATGGAGGTGAATATAAAAATCCGGTCATTTTAGAGTTTTATATATGTATTTTCATCAAAATTTCAGTTTTTGCTGTTTGATTGAATTGAATATCAGCATTGGATAGATTCATCATCATAAGTATTTATGGTTAGTTTAGAAAGAAAGAGAGGGAGACAAGCATTAAAAAAGACTCGGTACCTGATAGCTCTTAAATCTTACTTAATATTGTTGTTCTTAGCCCACTACCAGATACAGACTCGTGTACTTGAATTTTTTTATTTATTATTAATGGCTTTATTCAATATTATATTTTGGTACAATATAGAATTCCCGTTCACATGCTGAATTCGACAGCTAGTGATACAGTTTGGTTACTCTAACTGTAGTGAGACGGGCTTCGAACCCACGTCTTATTGACTGGAATTAAAAACGTCTTAACCACTGAGTCATAACTTTACTTACACTATATGAGCGTTCGGTAAATACTAATAGCTAATCTGTCTATCTCATCTAGGATATACAGACTTACGTAGTATGTCCAGTCAGTAAATAAACTGAGATCGTAAAAGTGTTGTTGTATAAATCGAGTGCACATAGATTATTATCTTCACAAATGACAATGTAGTTGTTCCATCACCGTTTCTATTGTTTAAAAGGAGTCTCTGAAAGTTCTAAAAAGCCTGAATCGATGTTGCACTTGTAAAGCTGTGATTTATCATCTGACGATTCTTTCAAAAAAGCTAGAAGTTTGAGCGGTGCTGCATCTATTGTACACTTTTAGTCAGTTTTTAGTAACGTTGATATGGGTTTGGATCACATATTTCTAGATACTTTTCTAAAATTAAGCACACTAGAAACTTTCTTACAGTGAATCAATGTGTGGAAAATACAAAAGACTGTTCATAAAAATAAGTAGTCGACAGTTATAACTCCAAAAACAGTAGCTTAGTTTGCGTAGTTATCGAACGGATGAATTATATACTCAGTCTTAAGCTAAACGTGTCTGTGAGCTGCCTAGCCGCTGACACCCAAAGTAGGTGAAACACAGTTCGAAGGCGTATGATAAAGGAGTAAGCGTTAGAGTGATTGATAAATAATAACTATTTACCCCTTCGGATTACTCATATTGACGAACGTGATGGAATTGATTAAAAATTTATTTATTATTTTTTTATTATTCACTATTTCATAATTGGCATCATGAACTAAATTTAATTAAACAACCATTAAAAACTAGGAGACATTGGACAGCTGTTTCGTCTGATTATGGAAGACTTTATCTGTGTAGTCTTTCTTAGCTTTCAACGATTATCTAATTAAGTTCAGTTCGTGATATGAAGTTTGTAATACAAAGACCCCCAAAAACTCTAGTTATGATAATCATATGCTAGTTAGCGACTAATGCCGAGAAGTAATTCTCGGAGTTCTAGTGTAAAACTGTGACCAATGGAGTTCATCCACGTCGGATATGAGGCTATTGCCAGTAGTATTAGAAGATGGTTGAACAGTACTACTATTCCATTGAATGAGATATCAGTCATTATATGCCAACTAGGTGGTCTAAGTATTAAGACCCCAATGCCAAGTTCGAATATCCTAGATTCGATCTGTGACAGAATCGTGCGTAGACGGAACGTCTGTCCCGTGTGTATTTGTTTTCAATAGTCGTCTAACCAAAATCAGTTCGTGCTGTAAAATATGGAAATTTAATAATCTTCACAAAACTCCTATTATAATATTCTGTATATATTTTTACTAGAATGTAATATCACTGTTTTCACCATAAATTTTAATGTTAATTTCATTTTTAATGATTTGAATCATCCCATTGTTGATAATATGATTGGCATTTGACCAATTCTAGTTAGTATATGTGTATCTTGTCCGAAGTGTCTCGATATAACCATTATAATACAAGTTAGTATATTATAGATGCAATGTGACTAGATGTTAAGCCTTGAACCTGCTCTTCATTCTATTTGGAGCTCCTAAGTTAGATGTATCTGTTGTGGCTAAATCCGAATCCCGAGGTGAATATCAACTCTGGGTACATCCAGCCGATATATCCGGATTAGGACGAAACACGCGTTCTGATTTCGAATATTAATCATATTCTATAATATTCTATATGAAGTTCGATGTGTTTATTATTCCTTCTTCGTGACCTGTCGTTTTTTATAGAAATCTTGCCGTTTCACTTAGCGCGGGCGTTACTTGTACATCAGATTTTGATAATTCTAGTTTATGTACAATTTTTATGGTTAATATTCAACTTACTGATTATGGTCGTGATCATACTTTCCAAGTAAGTCATTATTTCAGAATTCTTGTGTATTCTTTTCCAATTCAATGTTATTATTTTGGGTAGATTTTTCATACTTAATGTATTTTTCATCGGAATATACCGTTTATTATTATTATCATTGCTGTGCAAAAGGTTTATTTATTTATTTTAAGACATAGATATTGGTACAAGGAGGCACCAAATACATATGCGCCACACAGATTTCATTTGATATGTGCGAGGGCTGTGATACTGCCCGGGTGCCCAAACCGAAGCATGAGGTTTTCTTAGGGGGCCACACCTCGGGCCTTCGACCTGAAGGTCTGATCCACAAGGCAGTGGAGCATCGTGAGGAGATGCAGTCCCATGGTATCCGGTGACCAACGATTGGTTCATATGCTATTTGTTCTCTCAGGATACTGGAGCCCATGTGCACCATTGGTTTGTAATCAGAGTTTTCAAACTCCCCTAGGTGAACTCTCCATGTTCACCAACCCGGTTAAAGTGCCGGGCGTTCGCTTTTCGTCCTCTGAATTTCATAAACAACACCCCCGACACGGGACGGTAGTGAGTGAGGCTATATACGCGTGGTCATGTGAGAGCATTTCGAGAGGGTGGGCGGACTCTCCCCACTTTCGGCCGTACCAGGGCATTTGGGGGCTGTACAAAAGGTGATTACAAATTAATTTCCTGATTACGAAAAGTCAGTCGATCACTTGATCGTAATAAACGTAAAATTCTTGGATAATTGTAAGTCAGCCCAAGTTACCATACCACATTAAAGAAATGATATAGTAACAATTTTAATGAGAAATCTTGAATATTGAGAATATATTTTGAGAAGAGAGAACGGAAAAGTATATGTAAACACAAATAAAAATGGAAGATCTAGAAGAAGATCGAAATTGAATGCACCTGGATTACGACTACTGATTCTAAGTCATGTCACTGAGCATCTCCAACTATACTGGTCACGATAATTGCGTCTACTCTAAACATGTAGGATGTACTAACCAACATTTTTACTTATTCCATTTCTAGAATAAAAGATGCTACGATAAAACAGCTGTTCAGTGTTACCGAGTGTTTTTAAACACTACCTAAGCTCTGATCAATCTATAATGAAATACAACTTATAATTTTTATTCCGTCTGTTATTTGCGTTATTGTTTTCTTTACCAATTTGTTTATATGTAGGTTTGTGGAATATTATTTGATTATATAAAAATTCTACTGTACTCAGCGTTAAATTCTACATCGATATCTTTAATGAATGGTGGTTTAGAAGGTAATAATAATAATAATGGTGAACGCATTCATACAAATCACTGTCATAAACATACGTTCGCTACATATCTACCAGAATATCAAATGGTTAAAACAGCTAATTTTCTATATACAGAACCGGAAGAAGCTGAAGATACAGTGGTTAATCTAGCCAATATGTTACATCTTGTTAAATGTGAACATGTTTATTCTGGTTATAGGCTATTAAAAAAGCCAAATATAAAAGTAAGTCGTATTACTATGATTAGTATTGCTATGCATTAGACTTGACTATTGTTGATTGACTTAATATGTTCAATGGTGGTCGGGCTTACCTATTGTGATACGATTCACTAGAATCGTACTGCTAGAAACAATGGATCTTTGAGATCTCCTACTATGCTCGACTAGTTGGTTAAAATGCAGTAGTAGTGAAAATAAGTTTTCTGAGAGAAATCATACTGTTGATTGTATAGGATTTCGTGATATATCTTCCACAGCTTACTTACATCTCAAATGATATTTTCTATTATTTCAACTGGGACTTGGGGTTATTATTAGTCGGTTTTCTAAAGGGCACATTTTATCTTTTACCGTGAATCTCTGTTGAGGAAAATTAATTTTGAGAAATATGGATTATGTGGGACGAAAAATCTTTCGCTTGAAGGTTGTGCATAATCATCATCAAATAATTATTCCTTTGACTCCGTGGTTACTCTTATAGATTGGAAACATCATCGATACTACGTATCTTTTTCATATTCCTCAGGAGAAAATATACTTTTGTAATGTGTTGACAGACAAGGAGTATCTACATACCTCTAACCTCTCACAGGTTTCGCGTATATGGTGTATATTCCACATTTTCATCATTTGTTGGAGCTGTTATTAACTTCTTGCATTTCTTTTGTATTTCCGTAATTGTTGGAGGAGGGATCGAATTAGGAATTATTAAGAATGAATGTGAAATCTCATGTTGTTTGTCTTTTGAGTGTTATTATTTCAGGTTGTCGAATCATGTAACAGAATCTTTGTTATATGTAAAAGTATCTTATTCACCAAGTACAGATTTATACATTGCACTTCGTACTATGATTTTCGATTTAACCACGCTAGCCATACTACTAGTCAGGGGCTACCTAAGGCCGATGTACATACATACCAGGTTCTATGTTAAGACTTACTGACTGCCTGTGACATCGTTTTATTATCATTATGTATCCACTCTGAATGGTTATTATCTTTATTAATTGTATAATTTCAGTTGTACATTGACCTATTGAAATTGATGACACCAAATCGTGCAGCTATATTCTTTCTGTCATCAACTTTTGCATCTTCAGTGAAAGATGATGAGTCAAGATTAGAACATGAACCATGGTTTAATGTAGCTTATCAAAAAGAAGGTATGTTAATTAGTATATCTTTACATGTTCGTTGTTCTTTGTTGATACTGATGATTGTGATGATGATGATGATGATGACGATAATTCCTTTTGCTGTCTATTTTTATCGCGTTAGGTTAATGGTAACATAAAACTTGATGTTTAGAAGTACGGGACAGTTGTAGGTTACTAATATTTAATTATAGATGTTTTTAAAGTATATTGCTCTTGTATGTTGGAACCGGCAAGTCAGCAATGTTGAGATGTAGATATAGAGTACTAGTAAGTGGTGGTTGATCGTTTTGTGTAAGATTGTGGATACTTCATTCTTTGACGTAACTGGAATATGTATTACTTATGTCCAACCACCACTTATTTGTAAGTATAAGGTTGTAGTGATTGTTGATTTTCATTGAAATCACGAACTGATCAATGTTAGACCATTATAGAAAACCTAGAAGCAACGGACGACCGCTTTGTCCTAGCATGGAACTCTTCTGAAGTACGCATCCACGCCTTTGCGCGCAGGAACAGAACCTAGGATCTTCGTTTTCGCACGCGAACGCCTAATCTATGGACTATTGAGCTGACCGGCGTCTAACCGTGTTAATATCTAACTTCAATCAATCCACGATATTACTTGACTATCTTTCGTTGTTTTCGGTCAGTAACTGCCACACTCGATTGTGTACTTTCATGTATGATGTTGTTCGACTTGGGAATAGACCACAAAATAACTGAGTTCAAAACAAAACGTGGTATCAGTCCGCAAATTAATTGACCGGTTTTCTGATCCATGTTGTTGGGTGTAAACTTCTTGCTTGGTTAAGATCTTACTTACTTACGCCTGTTACTCCTAATGGAACATAGGCCGCCGACCAGCATTCTCCAACCCACTCTGTCCTGGGCCTTCTTTTCTAGTTCCATCCCATTCTCGTTCATTTTTCTCATGTCCATCTCCATTTCTCGGTGTACTGTGTTCTTTGGTCTTCCTCTTCTCCTTTGGCCTTGAGGATTCCATGTGAGGGCTTGTCTTGCGACGCAGTTGGGTGCTTTCCTCAATGTGTGTCCTGTCCACTTCCAGCGCTTCTTCCAGATTTCTTCCTCCACTGGGATCTGATTTGTTCTGTCCCACAGTAGGTTGTTGCTAATAGTGTCCGGCCAACGGATCCGAAGTATTTTGCGTAGACAACTGTTAATAAACACCTGTATCTTCTGGATGATGGCTTTCGTAGTTCTTCAGGTTTCCGTCCCATACAGTAGAACTGTCTTGACATTTGTATTGAAAATCCTGACCTTGGTGTTGGATGACAGTTGTTTTGAGTTCCAGATGTTCTTCGGTTGTAAATATGCTGCTCTTGCTTTGTCGATCCGCGCCTTCACATCTACATCAGACCCACCGTGTTCATCAATGATGCTGCCCAAATATGTAAAGGTTTTTGCATCTTCCAAATCTTCTCCGTCAATTGTGATTGGATTAGGTATTCTGTGTTGTATCGGAGAATCCTGCTTTTCCCTTTGTGTATATTGAGACCTATTGCTGCCGAGGCTGCTGCTACACTGGTCGTCTTCTCCTGCATTTGTTGTTGCGTTTGCGATAGAAATGCCAGTTCATCTGCGAAGTCTATATCGTGCAGCTGCATCCTAGATGTCCACTGTATCTCGTGCCTCCCTTCAGATGTTGACGTCTTCATGATCCAGTCGATCACCAGGAGAAAGAGAAAGGGTGAGAGTAAGCAACCTTGCCTGACACCGGTCTTCACTTCGAACGACTTTGTCAACTGTCCTCCATGCACGATTTTGCAGTGTAATCCATCATAGGAATTCTATATGATATTGACTATCTTCTGAGGCACGCCGTAGTGTCGAAGAAGCTTTCATAGTGTTGTTCTGTCCGCGCTACCGAATGCTTATTCGTTGTCAATGAAGTTGATGTAGAGTGATGAATTCCATCCAATTGATTGTTCCACAATGATCCGTAGAGTTGCAATTTGGTCCGTACGCGATCTATCCTTACGGAATCCTGACTGTTGGTCTCGAAGTTGGGCGTCAACGGAGTCCTTCATTCTTTTTAACAATATCCTGCTGAAGACTTTTGCTGGTATTGAGAGAAGAGTGATGCCTCTGTAGTTATCACAGTTTTTGAGATCGCCTTCGGTATTTTGATCAGAAGTCCTTCTTTCCAATATGTTGGTACTTGTTCCTCAACCCAAATATTATCGAAGAGATTGTGCAGTATCCTTGCACTTGCCGCTACGTCTGCTTTCAGTGCCTCTTCTGGAATGTTATCTGGTCCTGCTGCTTTGCCACTCTCGATTTGTCTGACGGCCATGCTGATTTCTTCAATTGTTGGTGGGCCAATATCGATTGGGAGGTCTGTGGGTGCTGCCTCGATGTTGAGTGGGTTCAGTGGGGCTGGTCGATTCAAGAGTTCTTTGAAGTGTACTTTCCACCTGTTTCGTTGTTCTTCAATGTTGTTGATTACCTTGCCTTCATTGCTTTTCACTAGTCGTTCTGGTTTGCGGCGATTTCCAGAGAGTTTCTTTGTTATGTCATACAGTTGTTTCATGTTTCCTTCTCTTGCAGCCTTTTCCGACGTCATTGCTAAATCTTCCACATATTTACGTTTGTCGGTTCTGATGCTCCTCTTCACTTGTTTGTTTACTTCTGTGTATTTAGCTTGTGTCTTGGCTTTTTCTGCTCTTGTTCAGCTGGTATTGATTGCAGCCTTCTTGTTCCATCTTTCTTGAATCTTATCCAGTGTATCAACAGTGATCCATTCCTTGTGATGGTGCTTCTTGTGACCCAGAACCTCATGGCATGTTGAAGTGATTGTCTCTTTTATCTCTTTCCAGTTGCTCTCCATAGTAGTTCCTTCTCCATTGAGTAGATTATGAAAGGTCTGGAAATTATCGCTGAAGGCTATCTTGAATTTGTTGAGTTTGTCAGTATCCCGAAGAAAGGCCGTATTGAACTTTTGTGATATTGTCCGCCCCGTTTTCGTTCCTTTCTCCTAGTTCATGTCGTCCCATGATGTCTTCATATCCGGTGTTGTTCATTCCAACCTTGGCATTTAAATCGTTTATCAGAATAGTCAGGTCATTTGTTAAGCACTTCTCGATATTTGACTGCAGCCTATTGTAGAATTGATCTTTAGCGTCTTCATTGTAGTCGTTGGTAGGGGCATAGCATTGAATGACGCTCATTGAAATGCCCTCTTTATTTGTTTTGAAGGAGACTTTGATGATCCTTGTTCCATAAGATTCCTATCCTATAAGTGCATTTTGTGCTTGTTTGGACAGCATTTTCTTCTTTATGGCCGGAGTATAACAGAAGCTCCCCTGAAGTTAGTCGTTGTTGTCCAACTTGTGTCCAATGTGTTTCACTGATCCCAAGTACCTCTAGGTTGTAATACATTAGCTGATAAAAGCCATTATCGTAAAGTTAGAATTTGTTGTAAACATTTACAGATTAAGATAAATGACAGCTAATCCCTGTTTAGATGTATATTTTGTAAACATATTTCCCTTCGAACGCTTATTCAATTGGGAGTCGTTGAGGAAGTCCCAGAAATCTGTCATCAAAGTATCTAGAACGCTGTTAAACCTTATATCTGTATCAGTGTCGAATAGAAGCTTCGGAAAAACATCTAAAACTTCCAGAATAACCTTTCACTGTTTTAGTTGGATATTCACTCGTACTACTACTATGTGCAGTGTAGTTTCAGAAGCCAAAGATCATGTATAACTCTAAATGGCCTTATCTTTTCTGTACAAAATCCAACCTTGAAATAAAGCTTTTTACTCGCAATTTGTGCCTTCTCTTGTTTGTTCCAGTTGACGTGTCGTGTCGAAGTAGTCTATGGGCTATAAGAACCGTCTAGGAAGATAGTTTAGGCGTATCGGTAGCAAGATATATTAGAATTTTTATTGCATTATTGAAGTTTCATCACTATAATTAAATATATAATGTTCACTTTGATTATTTCTTTACATTAATACTATTGAATACTATTTGTTCTTTTAAAAATAGATATACCCGAACATATTATGAACGGATGGATCCATTCAAAACCAGACGACGAAAAATTACATCTTCCATATGAAAATAAATTTTGAGTACGTTTTTGGTTGCTAAAAAATAGTATAGTGCTTGTATATATTTTTAGTATATGGGTTTAGCAACAGAATCCACTAAGTGTATTTCATCCTATTTGGTATTCATCAGCTGAGAATGTACCTGTGATAATTCACTGTCGTTGATAGGCCCGTTGATACTTGGATGCAATCACTTTCGCTACAAACGGGGAAGGTGACATTTCTGTCGGTTGCTTTTTTATTATAAACCGGACACCGCGTAAAGAAATATTGTTTCGAGTTGTTAAGTATCGGACAGGCGTGTGTCGTCTTTGTTTTCTGGGGAATTTTTTTAGAAGTGTTCACTTTATAGCCTCAATGTTCTTGATTCGATTACATAAAGTTGTGTGTGACTGTGAGTGTCTGTTATTGATTAGTCGTTAACTAATTCAGTTAATGCAGAACTTGACACCGTCGGATACCGGTTTAGTGGTCTAGAGGTCAAGCATTCGCGTACGAGATCGTGGATGCGCACTTCTGAGGAATTCCATACTAGGACGACACGGGCGTCCAGTGCTTCCAGATTTGCAATGGTGGTATAGCTTAGATTGACTGGTTAATCCAACTGTTAAAATACTACAATCTCCACACATCCCTTCCACCCCCCGTGTACATCGATTTAAGTTGTCACACTGAATCAACACAGCTATATAAAATTATCAAGACAAATGTCAGGCTAGTAGAAGTAGTAACATAGTATCAATTGTATTAGAAATCGTTAAGCATAAAAAGTATGATTCAAGAAGAAAGAATAAAACGTACGAAATAATTTTCAAAGCTTAACATTCAAAAGATGACAATCAATCAGAATATATTTGCCATATATACAACCGATTCTAAGCCATATCATTCAATATTGTTTCTAATCATTGGTTACGATAATCACGCCAGATTACAACACCAAACTATGTGGTTGTTTTAATCTACAAACATGATATAAATTGCCAGTCAATGAATGATTTTATAAACTGATGATATCACATTTTAATTATGGGTCACTTATAACATGATCGAATATTTTAATATTTATCTCTTTGTTGTATTCTGTGTAGTTCTTGTTAAAAGTTTTCTTTAAAAGATACAAATTTCATTGTTTGCCTTAGTATACCTTGAGTTTATATTTAATTTTCTTCCACTTTAGCGACGGATTTTAGTTTATTGGATTCAAAAACTGATATGAAGGTTAGTGTTTGTTTTTTGTTGTCTTTGTTTGAAAAATTCCTTTCTTTTCTATCTTCCATATATTGAATTGTGATTTCAGTATATGATAATATGTAATTGCACTTCAAACGCCAACACATTATCCACTTAGCTACTCAGCTCTAATGGCCGCTCGCTTGTGCAACGGGTCCGAGTCTCTGAGTGAACATCAAATTTGGAATGCAGGTACGTCCAGCTGATGTGTTCTAAATAGGATGAAACACACGTCCTTGGTTCCATCAATTCTGTGTGAACTTTTGTCATAGTGCTTATATCGAAACAATATATATATGCCAACTAAAACTGATTAGATTTCAGTTAAAATGCCAACAACGGGATAATTCAAATTATTAAAAATTAAATTATTAATTAGACCTCTTAGTGACGTCTTTTAACTTCATTTTATGGCTTGTTAACAATGACGTGCGAAACACCCCGTATCTGCCAAATTCGTTGAGTTTTTGATGAATGTTTTTCAATTTCTGTGAGTCATTAGTGCTGGTCAAATTCTATCGTTCAAAAATGCTGCTCAACTAGTGCAGGGGTCATGTTCTAGTCTTTGAAACCACTGGGTGAGTAACTTGATTTCGAATTCATCTCAGAGAGATAGATTAAGATAGCATCAATTCCCTAAAGATTATAGACACAATTTCCCCTATGAGTACCAACTCGAACATAACCATTGTTCAGGGTATCCTACCGACTACTTCCAAACACCTAACATCATATCGTTTCTCATTTACGTGTTTAGTATCTCGCACTGACGTATGTCACATTTGACACATGGATCGTAAACATTCTTCCAACCAATTGTATTATCTTTTAGCATCAATTAGTCTGGGGAGTGTTTGGACGAAAGAGGAGACATACATTAAAGAATTCGATCCCGTGGTCGGTTAACAGTCATATGTCACATTGTATACCATTGCTCATCATCTATCGATGAACATTATACTTGTCATCTATCCATATATATATATATATATATATATATATATATATATATATATATATATATATATATATATATATAACAAATAATCAAACCTAAGGAATATGTATAGTTTGTTTAAATATGGAATGAGTAAAATCGAGGTCATTTTGAAGAAAATATTTTATGTGTTTCCGCCTGTTTTTCTTTTGTTGAGAAAACTATCAGAATATACGTAGTGCCAAGTTGTTGTTTTCTTGTTTTACGTACTGTGAGTTGAGTAGGTTAAGTTATGAAGCTGGTTCTGGACAATAATCTCGTCATCAACGCCTACTTTATGTAAAGGTCAACTGTTTAGTTAATTCGCAATCATTAAACTGATCTGTTCTGATGACTTTGTGAATGAATGGCTGTTTGTGGAGGTTTCCCGGCTTTATTTGTTCTCGTATCTTTGTTGAGCAAATTGTTTTGTTGACGTTTGACTACGTGATTGATTGGTAAATAGGGTCTATTTCATTATACCTATTGATTGTAGACTGGTCGAAATGGAGTGCTTCTCGAAATTCGCTGACATTCTTTGAATTTCCTAAGTTCGGAGTTTTCCCATTTTCATAATAAAATTCGAATCTGTAGCATGCATTTATATAAGTAGTATCAATTCATATGGTTTTCTTTTGTTAGACTTTTTTCGTGTATTAGTGGATGGACCGGAGATCCACTTTGTCCAATGACCTAACAACGAAGGAAGACAAACGCAATATCATCCATAGAATACATTGCACCATCTGCAACAAAATTACACCGTATAAAAGTGGACACCCTTTCATTGGGAAAATTCTTTAGTTGCTCAGTTACCAGGTATAGATTCATATACTAGGCTGCAAACTACATTCCAAGTGTAATGGCTAGTGTTAATATACGGTTGCCCGAACTAGAGCGGGGTTCGAACCCTGGATTTAGTGACTAAAAATAGAATGCCTTATCCACTGAAAAACCATCCTATTAGGAAAAATATCAAAATCACACATCTATATATATTAGATTAAGAAAGAAGGTTAACGTGATTATGGTGTTATAATTAAAATATGAATTGGTTCTCAATTGTCCCTTTAGATAGTATTGCATAATATTGGCATTTTTCTTCTTTCTGTATGTTAACTGTTTATATATATATTCAGCAACCTGTGGATTTAAACTTGGAACCTGGTGCAGAATCACGTCTAAAATATGGTCATTTATGGTTTCAACAAAGTACTCGTTTCAAATGTCCTAAAGGTAATTTTTGTATTAGTTTGATAAGAATTATGTACACAGAAAACAGTATTTTTCATCATCTTGTTAATTCAAACTCTTTAAAATGGATATTACTAAAATTTCACTTTTTTTTACGTAATGGGTTTATGTTGTTAGATTCCGATATAATTATGTTGGATACCTGATTACTTGACACTGAATTTTAACCGCTTTCTAGTCCCTTAGAAATCTACACTTAAATCTCTAAAGGTAAATAAAAGTCGAAATTATGAAAATAAGCTTCATTTCCAAGGTTAGTTTAAGTATAAAAAGAATGGATATTCATTAGTTTATAGGCTTTGATCTGGATATTCTGGAAGCTTCTAAAACGATGCGAAAATTATTTAAAGAAATTGGTATTTATCTAGTCAGGATGTTATATATAATCACTTTATAGGAAGTTTCCATTAAACGTTGATTAGACGACTGGTTTTCAGTCTTTATTACATTTCTGAAAAATGTGAAGAATTCTCAAACACTTTCGAGAGATAGTTTTAATGATGAAGCTTCTATTGCCTTTCCTTTCACATATTATATACTGATGATGTTATACAAAATAAGACAACTAAAAACATTTTATTGAGTAAAAATACGCAACCTTTTCTTTAAAATATCGTTACTGATTTAAGCTAAAAATACTTTTCATTATAATCTTTGTTGAATTTCTGATGGAGATTCGATTACGTTTAACCCCCAAACAAATTCATCTTGAAACTATTGGTATCAGAGCTATTAAATACAGCTATCATATGGCGTTACATATTCGAAATATTTCCTACTGAGAAACTGTTTGACAGCCTGACAATATCATTATTCTTTGATCACTGACAGTAATAGTGTGGTGTATGCTACTTATGTTGACAGGTATAAGTAGTATGTAACGTCAATCTGAAGTAGAATGCATTTCAGCAGAAGATTGAGAAGATCGAAGTAAAGAGAACAGAAATGTAGACGGAATGTAATTTTAATAGCAACCGGAACTAAAAAACGATGAAGTTTGTGAGTGACAAGAACCGCTACAGCCAAGACCACCCTGCCAAAACACTTTATTCGACATCACCAGACGACCTTAAACAGTGCTTCTTCTCCCGGCCCTCGCGACGGTGTCCTCAAAACTCCCACTTCCTGCCTCTTGGTTGGCAGCGACACTAAATGTTGTGAACAATAACACAAGTGGGGGAGAACCGATTGTATTTCGACATAAAATTACGGAGTTCTTTGGTAAAATGTGCAAACCATACATTTAATTCTTCATTTGCAAATCCTCCGTCAACTGTCTCAAAGTCTATCTAAAAATTTCACTTAATTAATGTCAAGTTGAAAATCATTTCATCCTTGACATGTGAATCGGTTAGGGGAAATATGATCTTATCAAAAATCAGATTATTTCGCTTGAATCTCAGTTTTGGTGTATCATCGTTTGCACGTATGTTGTTGTGCTTTGATAACATCATCTATATAGTTTTATTGTTCAGTCATTAGTTTCCAGTGTCAGTTACCAAGTGTATGCAATATTCATAAAATTCTTTCTTTATATGTGGTTTGTTATTCTGACATGAATACCCTTTCTTAGTGGTTATGTCTCTGATTGTGATGCTTAGTGTGAAGCGAACTCGAGTATCCTAACAGACCGAGGATTGGGTTCCATAATGCTGTAACCAGTCAAGGTCCAACACGAATGTTTATCAGTATAAACTGTTGTATTTCACATCAATACAACATATCATCTGACTATATACGGGTCAACAGATATTTTGAGCCTCGTCAACTGATTCAATTTTTCTTCCATGTTATACCATATACTCTGGGTAATATTAGCTGTCTTTATTTCCACCGTATATGCCTATACAGTAAAATACTGCACAGCCCACGTTTATATTTAACCTTCAGTCATATTTTCCAGTGATTTTGAAACATAATTCTTCGTCGAGACTTTTGATCTATTTAATCTAAGCGAGTCATTATCATCATTATATCGTCACACTTCATCCGTGGAGTTAAATCATCACTAAAGATTGGACAAAATAATATGATTAGCCGTGATTTATTGACGTATTAGATTATATGCTGTTGCTAGAACTCCGCTTGTTATTAAAAATGGAATCTAGGATGACAAGTGTTTCTTCCTACTTTGGATTTGTTAGCTTGATGTACCTGGGCATTACAGTCCTACTATTTGTCTTTACCAATAATGATTTATTATTGTGCCCTTCATTGAGTCATGAACTGATCTAAGTTAGACCACCATTAAAAACCTAGAAACAATGAAAGGCCTCTCCGCTCTAATATGAGACACGTTAGCGACAGACATCCGCACACGGGAATCGAACCCAGGGCCCTCATGATCGTGCGTGGCCGCTTAAGTTCTTGACCACTAAGCTGGAAGCTGATGGTGTTAATGTCTAATTTTAGTCGATCGACGATATTGCGCTATCATTTTCTGATATCTTTGGTGGATAACTGTCTCACAACCGATAGAGTTTAGCTCCACCGGTCATGACTTCTCAGTAGGATTACGGAAACCTCTCAAAGCGGGTTCATTTCTCAAAGGCAGGGTCTTGGGTGCCCACTGCTGAGGAGTTCCATACTAAGGTGAAATGGCGATTTAGTGCTTCCGGTTTTTAAATACGTGGTTTAACATTGACCATTGGTTCGTGGTTTTAATGAAATTCAGTAGTTTCAACAACCTCATACTGATAATTAATGTGTTTATTTATTTATTTTCTTTTCACAGCTTCTGTAATGATCCATCTTTGGTCGGATATTGTGTCTAAAACAAAAGAAACGTAAGTCATGTAACACGAAAATAATTTTTTACTATATATACATACATGTATATAGTTAAGAAGATTTGTAGCGTGAGGGATGATGATTTGGCTATTGAACTTTCATTTTCCTTCTGAACAACATCACTGTCATTGTCAGAGCATTCTTCATGTAGAATTAAGCTTTTCAATTATTCCACAAGCGTTAGATCAGTTTGATTTTGGTGGCATTATTTGTAAGCGATTGTCTTGGTAGATTTTATTGTTTTGTATTGTTCTTGTATTCATACTGACTACCTAGTTCAGTTGATCTCTCATCATGTTGTTCATTCACTACTTTCAGTTAGTTTCATAGATCGAATTTAATTTGATGTGTCTACTGGCTGCTACTGATTGTTTTAACCTCCATGAGTATATTTTTTATAGAAATTTTCCGTTTGTTTCCTCTCTCTAGAATCTCGATAATTTCCCAGTTAAATTCATGGATTGATATCATTGATAGGATATATCGTGTCGTTTTACTAATTATTTTTATTCTTACATGCCTAAGTGAAGAGAACGTCCACTTTGTCCAATATATTGTTTATTACAGTTTATTTTATGATTGATATCAGTCATACCCGACCGTTGTTGCTACCTTGACGTGGTGGTCGGGCTTGCCTATCGTGATGAAGCAACCGAGCTATACTGGCTGGAACAACCGTTCCTCAAGGTCCTACCATGTCAGACAGGTCGGTTGAAGAGCGGTAAGACTAAAAGCAACAAACCCAAGGTCCGAAGGCGAAGTCGTACTGCTGACTGTACAGAGGTGTGACAGCAGTAAGGTGTTTCCTTCAGACAACCAGCATGACAGCGATGCTGCCTTCCCACAAGGAGGGGTGGGGTTAGAAAAGGTCGACCCTAAAAATGCACACCTCACCTTACCCACGGATTTCCGTCTCCGGCGGTAAGGCCCTTTGAAGAACGGAGCTAACACGTCGAAAACCTTCCACGAAAAGGCCGTGCGCGACCGGCCTCAAGCAGTTGTCCCTTGGGCACTGCGGTCACGCTCTCAGGTCACTGAGACCACCTCTAATCCAATTTCCTTTTCAGGTACCTCCAGAAGAACCCTTCCACGGTGTGGGCAACCGGGAAGTGATAACCGCCCTCATACCTCTAACAGCACCCAAGACCACTGTATTCATAATCAACCTTCCTCTTCAATTCCTATTATTCCTCCTACATCGACTTTCAACCCTAAACTTCCTCCTTTGGCTTCCTCCTCAAGTGTCACCATAGCCAACGATTCTAGTGCTCAAAACTCTGTCCCAGGTCTACTGAAACCTCGCTCCAAACTACACATTGGAGCTTTCAACGTACGCACTCTATGTCAAATCGGTCAACAGGCTTCCTTGGCTAAAACCCTAGAGTCTCTTTCCATTGATGTATGCTGTGTCTCTGAAACACGCATACAGGATCCCAGTGTGGTCATTCACTTGACCTCACCTCGGCAGAACGGAGAGCCAACGAGATACACCCTTCGTGTATCTGGTGACCCGATGGCCAGTTCTCGTGGACTGGCAGGTGTAGGCATAGCACTAAGCATGAGGGCCGAACAAGCACTGCTAGAGTGGATCCCCGTCAACAGTCGTCTATGTGCTGTTCGGCTGAACGGCTGCGTAAGAACTCGGAAGGATAGGGACACACGTCGTTGCCTTTTTGTCGTTTCTGCCTACGCTCCCACTGACTGCAGCTCAGATGAAGTGAAAGATGAATTTTACAGAAAGCTTCTGAACTTCTTCAGAAAGCTAAACGCTCAGACATAGTACTCGTAGCAGGTGATTTTAATGCTCAGATAGGTAGCTTAAACCAAACAGAAAGGCATTTAGGTGGATATTTTAGTATTCCGACACAGCGAACAGATAATGGTGATCGTCTGCTGCAGCTATGCTCAGACAATCGTTTATTTTTAGCAAACACAAATTTTAAGCATAAGGAGAGACATCGTCTAACATGGCGACCCCCTACACCAAACCAACGATGGACTCAAATAGACCATATTGCCATCAGTCATCGTTGGAGAGGGTCGGTAGAAGATTGTCGCTCATTCTGGAGTACCTGCTTGGACTCCGACCATGCCCTAATACGGGCACGCATCTGCTTGCGCCTCACTGGACGCAAAAAAGCCACATTAAAAAGACCCGTTAGAACTGAGTTGAGTAACGAGAAAACCAAAAGTAGGTTCCAGGAACAACTGAGGTCACACTTAGGTAGTTGTGAAGACGAGGCTGACCCAGATGTTGCTTGGAAGGGCATACAAGCAGCTGTGGAAACAGCAGTGACATCTATTAGTGACTTAAACCACAGAGTTACAAGGAACCAGTGGATTTCTTCAAGGTCTGTCACACTGATGGATTCTCGCAAACTCGTCCCATCAGGTTCCGAACATGATGAAGAGCGACAACAAATCAGATCTAGGTTAAGAAAAAGTCTAAGGAACGACCGTGAGCAGTGGTGGGTAACGAAAGCAAAAGAGATGGAAAAGGCGGCGACTATAGGGAACACAAGACAGCTTTACAGACTAATAAAAGAAACTGGAATTAATAAGTCAAGTGTAAGTGAGATTATTTCGGAAAAAGATAATACTCTCATCTGCTCCCAGTCCAGACGTTTAGAACGATGGGCGGAACATTTTAGAGAACAGTTCAGCTGGCCTTCAGCTACTCTACAACTACCCTCCATTCCCAGACAATGTGAATGGAACATTGAAGTAGGTCCCCCAACTCTTGCTGAAGTTCAAAAGGCTATAGTTAATCTGAAACGAGGAAGGGCAGCTGGTCCAGATGGATTGGCTCCAGAGGTCTTTAAGGATGGTGGTCCAATTTTAGCGATTAGGTTGACTAATATTTTAGCTAAGATCTGGGAATTAGACGTTATCCCATCTGACTGGTCGCAATCACTTATCGTCCCAATATATAAGAAAGGGTCAAAATCATCCTGTGACAACCACAGAGGGATTAGTTTAACAAACATAGTATCTAAAATACTGGCCTCGATAATTATCAAACGCCTAACTAAGACTCGTGAACTACAAACACGAGAGAACCAAGCTGGCTTTAGACCTGGTCGTGGCTGCATCGACCACATATTCACCATTCGTCAGGTTCTAGAACACAGGCATACCTATCGGCGTCCGACGATGGTGGTCTTTCTTGACTTAAAAGCAGCATTTGACTCTGTAGACCGCGAGACTCTGTGGCAGTGTCTGTCATTGAAAGGCGTACCTCAGAAGTACATAAACCTTGTGAAGGCTCTTTACTCGAACACTACTAGTCGAGTCAGGGCTTATGGCGAACTGTCATCTACTTTTGCAACCTCAAGTGGTGTCCGTCAAGGCTGCCCACTTTCTCCATTTTTGTTTAACTTCATCATAGACCTATTGATGGAAATAACACTCTCGTCGACTGAATTCTCGGGTATTGATCTCCTTCCAGGAGGTCCACTTATCGACTTAGAATACGCAGATGACATAGTCCTGTTTGGTGAAGACGCTGACAAAATGCAGAGTCTTCTGGTAGCACTAAGCAACAATGCCAGAATGTTTGGGATGCGCTTCTCTCCCTCTAAATGCAAGTTGTTGCTTCAGGACTGGTCTGCGTCAACACCTGAACTAAGGATAGGGAGTGAAGTAGTCGAACGCGTTGACAACTTCACTTATCTTGGAAGTCTGATCAGCCCTAATGGGTTGGTGTCTGACGAAATCTCAGCACGGATTCGTAAAGCTCGTTTGGCTTTTGCCAACTTACGTCACCTTTGGCGGAGGCGAGATATCCGTCTATCAATAAAAGGACGAGTATACTGCGCGGCAGTCCGTTCTGTTTTAATTTACGGCAGCGAAACATGGCCTTAAGAGTAGAAGACACCCGTAAGCTACTAGTATTTGACCACAGATGCCTTAGAAATATTGCTGGCATCTGCTGGGATCACCGGGTAAGTAATAGTGAGGTTAGACGCAGGGTATTAGGGAATGATGGTAAATCAGTTGATGAGGTTATGAATCTTCATCGACTGAGATGGTTGGGCCACGTATTACGTATGCCTGAACACCGATTACCACGACGTGCAATGCTAACCGGTGTAGGGGATGGTTGGAAGAAAGTTAGGGGCGGCCAAACCAAAACGTGGCATCAGTGCTTGAAGTCACTAACTTCTAGTCTGAGCCATGTTGGTAGATGCAGACTACTTGGTTGGGGTCCGCGTGACTTTCGTAACCAATGGTTGGAGACTCTTGGTGACATGGCTCAGAATCGATCACAATGGCGTCGGTGTATACACTCCCTGTCTTCCCTTAAACTAAGAGATTAAGATCACTTCACATCTTTCTTTCTACGAACTAATTCTTTCTTCCTATACTATATCCTTATTGCAACCTTTGACCTAACCACTCCTATGAATCCGGTGTTCATCTTGCTGTGCTAATGAGGTATGGCAACCTGGGCCGATGCATACATGTGCCTGGTCCTACGTTGTAGCTGACTGACTGACTGACTGATATCAGTCAGTCAGTCAGCTACAACATAGGACCAGGTACATATATGTATGGAGCGGTCTAACTTTCCATACTCCACAAGATGAACACTAAATTCATAGAAGCAGTTACTTCAATCGTAGTAATATATGAAAAAAATGATTGCATATACGAATATGATACAGGGAGAAATAATTAGTTCGTAGAAAGAAAGGTATAAAGTAGTTTGTTTGGCCGCCCCTAACTTTCCTGCAACCGTTTCCAACACTAGTCTGCATTGCGCGTCGTGGTAATCAATCAATGTTCAGGAATATGTATAGCGTAGCCCAACCATCTCAGTCGATGAAGATTCGCATTTATCTTCTTTCTTTAGTTACATGAATGTTGGTTGACATAGAATCAAAATCCAACGTTTATTCTCAATTACTTTCAGCACTCGGAAATTTTTGTGCAGATTGGTCTAATTGTTGAGTTATTTTCGTGATTGACTGATCTCACAGCGTGAATCGAAGGTCCTAAGTTTGACTTATTGTATGATCGTGCGTATGCATCGTTGGGGGGTTCTTTAGTAAGAATAACCAGGTTTCTTTTACCCCTGGTTATAAATCGCTCCACGGTTGCCATCAGTATGCAAAGAATACTATCTACCTATCAGATTATTTTCAGTACAGTAGATTTACTATTTTTTTGTGAAATGGTAGTTTATCATAATCTGTAGGTTATTATTTTGAACATACACCAGATGATTTGTTTCGAAGCCACACCTCATTTTGACTTGAAATACTGGGAATCCAATAAGAATTTTCAATTGAGTGCTGTTGAATTAACAGTAAATCCTATTCATTCTCTCTTTTTTCTATTAGGAACTTACCGGAATTTCAGTCTATCTATAGTCTCATAGGTTAAGTACTTCACATATGACATTAAATAATTCACCAAAGCGTACGTACCAGCCAAATTTGAGAGTTCATTCTAATTCACGTCCACAAATACTCACTATCCAGTGAATGTGCAATGAACAAATTTCGCTCAATCATGTAGAACAACATTTTCTTTTTACATAAAAGAATGTCTGATCTACACAATTTTGTTTGTTAAAGGTTGATTTCGTTGATCTGTCTTCTTTTCCAGTGAATTCTGAATTCAACCAAAACAGGGACATTTGACTTAGTCGTATAATACGTGAATTCATTTCTATTTCGAGGTTTCTCATCAGCTGCTTACAACCTCTAAACAAAATACCACTCATCATTCCAAAAAGTCAGTGTACATAAATTACATGTCATATTATCGGAAGCGTTCTCATCAGTGGAGATAAATGGAAAGAGAGCAATAAGTATGGAAGAATTATAATAGATGTTAAACAATTTGAATATTTAGGCGAGACTATAATTTGTGTATGAACCGATTAGATTTAAGATAATGAGTCTTTGATTTTGGCGCAAAATTCTTTCATCCATATGGGCGAATAGCATTTGATTGATAATCTTGAGGGAATTTGAAATATCAACACCATGCAGGCTGTAAACCAGATAGTGTGCAATCGCACTCCTGAAAACGTGTTGTCCTCTGAGTCGAAGCTTACGTAGAATGTCCTCAGAGATGCTGACACTTACCCTTCATTCTGTCCGTCCAAAATATTTGCTTTGGCACGTTCATGTAAACTGGTATACATAAATGAAGGTGATCTTTACATACTTATTGCCCTCTTTTCATTAATCTTGATAGACGGGAACTTTTCCGATATTTTGATATGTAAAGTATATACATTTATTTTGAATGATGAATACTATTTTAATTAGAGGTTATAAAGAGCTGATGAGAAACATTGTAATCTAAATGAATTCACATGTTGGTTGATCGATCCTGAAGATAAATATTGAAATTCTGTAGTAGTGATACTGAGAAATCGTCTTGTAAATTATTTAACCAGGTTTCTCAAGTTGTGATTACACCACAATTAAGATACGTGTTTTTCAAACTTTGTAGAAATTGAGTATACTCCACCTTGTCAATTAGTGATTACCAGTTAGATGTAAGCAAATCAAGAATCAACATCCTAATAATGTTCATTTTTTCAATTCACATTGCCAATCACAACGATGTCTCTGATTATATTTCTTTGTAACTTGTACAGCGAAAGGTCATAAACATTCTATAAGCGCAGCTGATTAAGTCCTGCCATTAATAAACATTATAATGTGTTAAAACAAACAATAAACAGATAACTCGTTGAAATATTTAGATAACAGGAACAGGTAGCTCATATGTTCAAGAAGGCCTTTGGAAAAGCATGAGTTGAGACACATGTTTACTTAATTTTCCCTGTAGCGCATTTGTGTGAATTGTTTTTCTTTAATAGTTAATATCACTCATCAATCCTAGTTTAAAGAATCATTGAGAACCGGAAGGTGTTGACGCATCAGTAGTCTCCTATCAGGAAAATAAAATTCCTGGTCCCATGATATTAACTATAAAATTATTTACTTTTTATTAAAACAATTTATATGTTTGTATATCCCATTTTTCCATCTCTCTTTATACATATATTCGTTTTTTCCTTAAATTTTTACAGCATGGCATTGCATACATTGATGGTCTATGGTTTAAATCAGTCATTGAGTACAATCACCTATGAAGCTGGTGAAGCAGATCTAGTGTAAGTTCTTATTCATTGTGTTTTTGTTTGTTTGTTTAGAAAAGTTTAATGATGGTGATTTCATTCATCAATTCACTCAAGTTGATTGTATTCTCTGTATTTAAGCCATACTATTTTTGTGAATAAGTGGTTTAGCGATACTATTATTACCATTAGTATTAGCTCTACTCAATATTATATTTTGGGTACAATATAGAATTCCCAGCATAAAGTATTTTAACAAGTTTCCTTTTCTTATTTCGTGATCGATCCTTAAGATAAATGTTGAGTAGTTGCCAGTTAGGTGTTAGCAGTTCGGGAATTGACATTTGAATAATCTACATTGTTTTCGATACATATTGTCAGCAACCACGATGTCTCTGATTGGGTTCTTTTGTAACTTGCACAGCGAAATGTCATAAAATTTTCACAAATGCTTCTGAATAAGTTATGCGACTAATAGGCATAATGATGTGTTAAAACAAACATGAAAACAGATAACTTGTTGAAATATCCTGATGGTAGGAACAGGTAGCCCAGATATTCGAACGGTCAAACTGAATTAGGTAGGATATGTTTCAAACTTGTTGCCTAATGCTATTAGTAAATGTTTAAATTATCTCGTTGTTAATAAATGCAGAATTTATTTATGATTAATATTTTTCACATTTGTGAATTCTATACAGATTATCCAGATATGTTCATTTTGTCTGATAGAACAGATGGTTTAAGATTGACTATGAAATGCAGAATGCATGTTCTGTCCCATATGGGGCTCATCAGATAAATCTATTTTCACTAAGGTTCACTCTGAAACTGGAAAACAGTACCTTTTGCTTCGAACCCCAGTGCATTATCCACTAAACTACTGAGTGCGGATAGCCCATAGCTTTTCGTTTTTTTCATACACACTACTGTTAGACAGTTGTCAATAATCGGCAAAAAATCCTATTTCATTTGGCTGCCATATGAGTTGTCATCGGTCGTCGACAAGTCGTATTTAGGGTTCTTCGTCAAATAGGTGCTTTCTTACACCTACCGTTAGTCTGAATCGAACTCATGTCACCGTTTTTAATGTTAACACTGAACTATTCCAGCTGATATTATTCATGAATAAATGTAGATGCTTCTTTGAAATACTGCATATTATCTCATTGTTTTAAATGTATGTATATATGTATGAAAAAAGCAATATATTTTCTTTTTTATGTTTCGTAGACAAGATGTAGCGTTTCGTGATAATGGCTTGCGTATTTGTGTTAGCGGTTTTAGTGAAAAATTGTTTGTAAGTTTTATTACTATTTTCATTGTTTGGTTGAAAATGTTTTTTTGTTACAAATCGATTTATTTTTCATCACAGATTGATCTCGGTTGAGGTACATTTAGAAACTAGGAATCGTTGGACAACAATCCTTCACCTTAAAATTTGAAGGTTCCAATTGACACCTCTAGATAAATCATGGGTACACAGTGATGTGATGTGTTTTTTTGTGATACATTCAATGTTCAATTTATATGAAACTATCAAGTCCAACCTTGGCATTGATACCTACTTATTTAGAATGATATCCCAACCGAGATCTGTATGTTGATGGTATAATGAGAGTAATGTTGTTCTTTTGTAAACATCTAACTATAATTGTTCATAAAGCTATACATCATAGTCGGTGGTCACCACTGTTATAACTTGTGACCTGTATGCCCTGTTAATTTATAACGTAACGGTACCGCCAATTAGAGAGTAGTCACTTATCGATCGGATCAATGACGCGTAAACCCATACGAGCAGTCTCGAGTCCTTATTGATCTCGCTTCCTGTCTAGCCCAGCCAGTTAAGTCCAGAACACCAATCCGAGCCTCTGCAATATGAATCATGTGTTTTAAAAATACTCGGTTTATATACCAATCAAACAGACCATAAAATAGAAAATAACATTTGTACAAAATCTGGTCAAATGTGGCTGTGAATGTGGGAGGCAGTGACTAATAGACAGGACATAATTCAAGAATGGTAAAACGTATAATAATGGTTCATAGGTCAAAATAAAGTTTATAATAAGAGGAATATGAATATGAATAGTTTAGTTATTTAACATCTATACGAATATACGTTTAGTATTAGTCCATAAATGTACCCCAAATTTACCATTCATTATGCTTATCGGGACCTAACAACCACATACAATACTTTATCATCAGTTTAATGTTTGATTTCCAACTATCTCATGATTTATTCATTCTTCATACCAACAAATTTGCATTCGATTTTTTCTATTTGCCTTTAAATTATTTAAGTTATAAGTAACTATTATAAAACAGTTTATTTGTTTATTATTTTGGGCTGAATTGGAATGTACTCAGTGTTCAATTATACTTTTCTCTGTTTATTTTTTTGTTTGTTTTTTGTTCTCAAAATACTTTTAAAAATAGTGTTTTTATTCAACTATACTTGATCATATATTGGATCAAACACAAGATTTATCCAAAGAATATTTCGAATCATATCGTGATGCTGTACTTCAAATTTATTATAATGAAGCACTTAAACCAAATGTACTCAATACGTAAGTGAAATAGTGTAACAAACCAATGAACGCTATTTTTTTCAAACGGTTTCGATGTTATGGTGAATGATGATGATAATGATGTTTGAGGGCAATCAACAGTCAAGTTAATTACCGTACGATAACTACCTATAACGTCATGTAATGTATTAAGTGATTTATACTGGTGATCATATTTCTAATTGATTCACCCTTCTCATTTCGTATGATTAAAAGTGGAAATCTTTCGAGAAAGTTAGGTGGAGGTGGTAGTCCAAGCTGATCATATACTGTCTCATAGCACCATGGTCTGTGAGAAATGCGATTGGAAATGGGTTATTAATTGAGGTTGTGAATACTATTACGTTGATCCTGACCCCCAAATTCTTTTTCTTTGTCATTCAAGAATATTTTCAGGGAGTACAGTTCTGTCCGGAATAGAATAGTAGGTTGGTATAAGAAAGCTATGACGATTTAACTTAAAACCTGGTATCAATCCATAAGATGGTTAATGGTTGATCTGAGCCATGTTGTTAGATGCAAACTTCCTGTGTTGAACCCTCCTTGATTATTGGTTAGATTAGATTTCCTATAAATCACCGGTTTATGTATCTGACTCTAGGCTTAAGGGTTAGTTCTACTCACCATGATACTCAGACCGTCATGGATTAAACGCAGGATTGAAATACAAACTTCTGCCTTTTTTTCATACCAAGTATCCTATTAATATAACCAGAAAAACGCTAACCAGAAATCCTATTAATAAGCTGACCTAATCTTAACATGTTGTAAAACACGACAATAGGCAGGAGGAGTGTATATTATTGCGAAAAGTTATAAAGTACTCACGTAATACCTAAACATAGTCTTCACTCATCCATTTGCATCTTCTGCTATGCCCTGCAATCTGAACTATCTTCTCGACTGACCTCCAAGTGTTATGTCAACTCCGTGCTTTCGGCGCACTGAAACTCTCCACTCTTCACAATTTCTTCAACTTCAGCACCACTTTCCGCTACACACTACATATAAACATCCTTATCATTAGCGTGCACCCCTATTTCCATGCTATCTAAAGACTAAGGTTTAGGTGAGTGATGATAAACAAGATATGCTATTAACTTATGTATCTACGAGACAGATATATATCTATATGTATGCAAATGTGTAGTGTGTATCTCTACGTTCGATTGCAAATTATACCTTATTATTCATTATTAGTCCCCTCACTTGCACAGTAGGTTGAATTCGATTATATTCAGTGTGTATGTCAGTATCTAAATGAGTTGAGCGCATAACAAAACACTTAAACACCGTTGTGCTCATTGTGTATCCTACTAATTAGTTCATTTACTGATCATTTATATATTTACTCTTTGGATAAATTCCTTTTGTTTGTTTCGTCTATTTACTTCACAGTCATCTTCAATTTTATCTTCTTCGTAAAGAAGCTTATCTAATTACAGATTTATTGAGTGCACTGAAAAATTTGTCCGTTGCTGATGTCGCTGCGTATAAACAACAATTTTTGTCCACTTTACATATTACTATTTATGCTTATGGTAATATAACAAGACAGGTGAGTCTTCTTAAAACATATGTGTATGCTTGAAAAGACCTTAAATTATCTCCTTCAGTTCATTTGGCAAATAATGGTTCTGATGTGTAAGGAGGTCTGAGGTTACGTTTTTCCAATCAGTTCATTGCAAATATATCTCAGTTCTACAAGGGGGTCAGTCGAGGCGCAAATAATTCAGTATCTACATCTGTGACTGTGAAGCTGGTTGACACTGGACTAAATTCACCAGGGAGCATCGGTTCCCCCAAGATTACAGGTTTATCTTGCTGATGAGTGTCAAATAGAACTAAGCCTAGGTCCTTAGATCTCTACTTAACATCTCAACATAGTGCACGCAACGTCAGTAACTTGGACTAGTGTCCACATTGCAACTTGATCAATAGAGTTCCGGTAGCATTAAGAAGGACTTGACGTATATAGCAGTGGTCACTACTCAGTGATCAGTGAGTTGTAAATTTTCCCTACTGACTTTTGCTAGTGTACGATTGGTTGTCCTTGTTTTCAGCTTACTACTTCTGGTTGGTTTATTGCAATTTAATATTCATTGATCATCAAGTCTTTTCTTGATTTCTATCTCTTTCTTTCTCTTTTCCTATCCACCGTGTAGGTGGGATTATTGACGAAGTGTTATAAATAAATTAGTTGTCTGGTTTGTGTAGTTTGCATACAACCCGTTTAATATTAGAAAAATATTTCAGTCAGTTGTATCAAACCAAAACGGTATGTTTTGTTAAGATCACTGGTCGATTCAAGTTAAACGACCGTGAATCAAACCCTAGATCGTTGTCCCCTCACTCGAACTCTAAACCTCTAAATAATTGAGCTGGGATACATTAGTGTACAAGTCCAAACTCAATAAAGCTGAGATAATACACCACTATCCTCCATTGTCTTCTTAATCTCAGTAAAATCCAACAATTTCCAAAACCACATACTAAGAGCAGTATGTGTTCATAACTGTAGAAATGCAAAAAAAGAACATTTCAAAAATCATTTGACGTTTAATTTGTGACGGTTGACCATTTCCTCGTTTTTATATCTAATTAAATTATAAGCAAGTTGATAAAGATGACGCTTTCATTGCTTATGTGTTTTTCCCCTCGATTTGGAGAGTACACTTATGACACATATAGTGCTCTGTATTAAAAGTACCAACAAAATTCAGACTTCTAAATTATTTCAGTTACCATACAAATTGACTTTCTCTGAATCTAGATACAAAATGTTTCAGAGTTAAATTATGTCATTACATAACCAACATAATCACTAGTAGCTCACCTGATTTTTGGTAGTTTTATGTCACATACAATTAACGTGTACTATATTATTATTATTACATTGTATCTTGTATCACAACATGCCTTAATTTTCATCCCACCTGTGCTAAATGAATTGTGGAAATTTGGTCCACAGGTAAACATTTATCCCAATTCTTACGTTATCGCTAACAAGTTCAAATCTGTCTCCGTCTAATCTAGTTTGAGCTATTGGATAGTGAAACTACACGCAAGTCGCATCAAAAGTTTGATTCTTCTCTGTTGAACAACTACCTTACGATGAATCCTAATTATAAATAGTTAAAAGATATTTCCTAATACAAGCGCAATCTACGTGATCTAAAGGACTCAATGACTAATTCACACAATACTTCAATAGGAAAAAAAGACAGTAATTCTAGGAAATTAAAGTTTTTAATGCAACAAATCTGTGTTATGTAACAAATAACATTAACCTTTGGAACAGATAATCAAATTAAAACGATTTTAATAGTGGTTGATATGAATAGAAAAAAATTTATCAAGGAATTCCTTGGTCACCAGAACCGTCTTTTTATTAATAGGAGTAAAACGAAACTACATAATTTCAGTCCTTCTAAACCTGTCATTTCGACTGAATTCATAAATTTATACTTGATCATCAAATAAGTTACTTGAACCTGGTAATTTATTCTTTAAAATCAATTCTTGGATGTGGGCAAATCCAGCTGATGAGTTCCAAGCAGAACGAAACGCACATCCTGGATCCAACCTTTAACTGCGATTCGTCACTGTTTTAAAAATGATTATGACTTATTGGTAATATCAAGACAATCTGCACAGGATTCAAATATGTCTAAAAGTGATTGATCAACTGCAGTCTTAGACATCAATGAGGAGACACGAATAACCATAATATATGAGTTTTCGTGTTTATTTTTTAACTTGTTATACCTTCCACGTTGTTACACATATTTTTTTGTTTTCTATCATTACCACTGCGGCCGCTGCACCCCTACCATCCAACTATCTGTAGGATGCCATTTCTTTCTTTGATTATACAGTGGAGAAGATTCGACCTATCCCTAGATCCACAAGAAAGTTGGTAAGTTAACTTCAACCTTAATTTACTTACTCAGGCATGTTACTGCTTGTGGAGAATAGGCTGCCGACCAGCAATATCCAATCTACTCTATCATGGGCTCTCCTTTCCAGTTGTTGACAAGTCCTATTCATTCTTATGATGTATACCTCCTATTCCCGAAGCAATATTTTTTTGATCTGTCTTTTTCCTTCTTGTCTTAAGGAACTCAAGTTAGGGATTACTCTTTTTATACAGTTTGGTGGTTCAACAATGTGTATCCTGTCCACCCTCACAGTATTTTCCTAAGTTTGTTTTCATCCGGCAACTGATTTGTTCTCTGCTACAGTAGGTCATTGGTGATAGTGTCTGGCAAACGGATATGGAGTATCTTCCATAAACAACTGTTTATGAATACCCGTACCTTTTTAATGATAATTTTAGTAGTTCTTCAGGTCTTAACTCCGTACAATGCAACTGTCTTGATGTTGCTATTGAAGATTCTGACTTTGCTTTTACCTGACAGTTGTTTTGAGTTTTGGACGATCATTAGTTGTAGGAATGCTTCCATTTCTTTGTGAATCCGTGCCTTTAAATCTGCACCAGATCCTCCTTGTTTATAATTGATGCTTACCTGGTGGTACGTGAAGGTTTCAACTTCTTCCATAGCTTTCCCTTTTGGTTGGTCCCCACTGTGCTGTATTTTGGGATCTCTCTTTTTCATATATAAACTTGATCTAATTAAATTCAATTTTCCTCATACTTTTGACTCACATTATTATTGTTTCCCAACTGTACCAACTCTTAATTATGAGAGTTTCGTATTTTCACGTTGTTAATGTTAACAACTGTAATTGATCAGTTCCCATGTTGGTGACGTAATTAAACCCTAAATGGATTGCCTCAATATTGCAGGCTTGAAAGAGAAAGATATTAAGTTGAAATCTCAGCGCGCAAATCAAAATTGGCCAATGATATGTGCATCCAGATTACTAAAACCGATCATTATCTACGATCTTCATAGAATCACAACGTGTAACCCTAATCAGTCAACATAATTCCTCGTACCATACATATATTTTTTCTAGGAAATATTTGTTTAGCTACTCATTAGTAGTAGGAATACTAGTTAATAAAATGTTTTGTCCGCCTTGAACTCATGCCCATCTGATATCATTACAACTATTATCCTTATCCTTCCCACTTTTTTTTTATTATAGTGTGGTACACCTTCAATGCGTTATTTTGTAGAATATTCAATAAAATATAAAGTCTCTTTCAGTGCTCATAAAGATCAATCATTATTCAGTTTTTGTAATGTTAATAATTCTTAATATTATTGTTATTGTTAGCACTGAGAATAAAATGCTATGATATCGATCATTCATCCACAATGTGCTAGTTGAATAGGCTTTATTTAGCCTTATTTACAGTTGGTCAGAACTCTGAATGAACATTATCAACAACCGTCCTCTCTGTAGTGAATAGTTTGGTCGTTATACACTCCTTGTCCTTCTAGATAACATCATCAGTACAAAAGTTTGATAGAATTGATTTGTCTTGACTTAAACACAGCTTGTTCGGTCAAATCTGATTCAGATTGGTTGTTGTAAACACCTTTTTTGTCTTGATCTCTACTAATTTTGACTGTGTTTCCCTTTGATTTGAATTCTAACTTCACAGATGTTCGTAGTTCTTATAATTGATTGATATAAACTAAATTACGTTGTGGCGTTTGATAAGTTATTATTGTACATCCTGATGAAGAAGAGAGTGTTCATTTTGTCACGCGATACTTATACCGATAAATATTTACGGAATACCAAATATAGATATCTCATCCCAATTTAAATATAGTTTTGGCTACAAAACAAGCTATTAACAAGTGATGAGCACATAATAAAGCTGTATTTCGTTGTCACGATCTTAATTACCTCTGCATTGCAAACGTATGGCTATAAACGTACACAAAATATCGAACTTGTGACCTTTAGATTTTGTGGTGGTGAACATGCTACGGTTTAGTCTGTGATATAAAATCTAATCATTTATGTTACTAGACGAATAGATTTCCAATTTCAGGTAGTTTGTCATTATCCTCAAGCTTCTTTAGATCTCTTCCCAACGTGAAATAGAACCTGCTACATGTGTACGCCGTTTCACTTTTCCACTCCCCATTAGCATAGAGATGAAATTGTCAAGTTTAATCCCAGAGAAATGGATGTAGTCACAGTATTCATAGTAATAGAAAGGAATATATGATTCACGAAGAAAATATGGGTTAATATGATAAATAGTCAAATTTTCCAAGGTAATTAAGAAGCTTAAAATTCAGTTGAAGGCAAAGAGTGAATCCACCTATTCCATTGCAAATGATTCTAAACCATGTCACCTAGTATCTCTAACGATTATTTACGATATTCACATGAATCACAACTAAGTAGTTTGTACCTACATATATGGCTCAATCCAGCAATCAAAGGGGTATCCGTCAATTCAAAGTAATAACTAACTCATCCGTATAGGGTTTTTTTTACACCTCATAGTTCAATTCTTCTATTCGAATGACTTTTACCAAATTTTTTGATTTACTAAAAACACTTACAGCTGTATTCTTTTATTTTTGCAAAAAATAATCCAACTCTCTGTTTAGATTGATACCTCAATCTTAGATCCAGGTACATATTATCTACGTGTTATGAATTGTAATCCAAACGATGTAAATATGTGTCTAGCTAGAATACATTTACTTGGTGAATCCGATATTAAACAACAATGCTATAATAAACTATTGGCAGTAAGTAGAATTCTTTTTCTACACACATACACAAACACACTTGTTATTTATTTCACTAGTTTTTCATTTTCCCCTCAATTTATGCGGCTAATTTTTGAATGACTGTTGGTTATCACTACGGACAAGAAGTTCACTAACCGTCGGTCTCGCGCGTGAATACATAACCTCTAGACCATTGAGCTGGCATCCAACGGTGTTAATGTTCTTGCTTCGTGTCCTGCATGAGGAATCGTGAATGCAAATGCTGCGTAGTCCCATACTAGGACGAAACGGCCGTCCACATTTTCAACGGTGGTCTAGGTTAAATCGACTCATGAATCCAACTATTAAAAATTACTACACTCTCCACATCACTCCCATCCTATTATATATATTAGTTCATGGTAACTTATGTTTTATTACGCTTTACAATATTTTCTACCGACGAAAATTTTTTAGCGATTCTGCTGAAACCAACAGGATTTGCTTAAACTAGATAATTCGGAGAAATTAATGTGTAACACTTCAACAACAATCCGCTATACAACTGAAAAGAGAAAAGTTGAAAACTGTGAAAGTTTAATATTCGAACAAGTCGACATTTTGATAGAATAACCTTATTTGTATAGCAATAAATATATCTCTGAGACACGACAAAAGCAGCAAATTTAGAGCGAGATCATTGAATTTGTCAGTAGAAAAGGTCGTTGCTGAATTATGAATCGGAAAGACGCTACTGTGAACTTCATTACATGTTAAAAATATTGTTTATTCAACAAAAGCAATAAGACTAAACAATTTTATTTCTTCCTAACAGTATCTAGTCTAGTGAGTAACTATTCAGGTACTCAGCTTTGAGCCATTCATTTTGTACAATCGGCAAGGACTCGTAATACTACCAGACTGTTTAAATCTTAGTAGTCAAAGTAATATCCGGAGTCGCATATTACTGACGCTGATGGCTGTAATCTTTAAACCACTCATGTTTTAACTAATTAGTCGTAAGTTTAAAAAGTTAGACATGAACTGCTGAGTATTATCACTAGAACTCACAATTACAGTGTAATACAAAGTTGAGTACAATTTAAATTTGTATTTCGCATACTATTGAAACAGCAATTCTTATCAAATAACCCTTTCATATGCCAAATTCTCCTAATTTAATCGCGCGTTTTTTATCCGACTAAACCTTTTTTGTTTTCTTTTGTGTATTTATGTTTCAGTTTATATTATCTGAACCGGCTTTTGATTATCTGCGTACTAAAGAAACTTTAGGATATACTGTTTATCTCCGATATTGGCGATCATCTCCTGGTGGTACATTACATTCAGGTATCAGTTTAGTAGCATATAGTCCAGCTAATAAATATTCCATTGATTATGTCGCTGGAAGATTGACTGCTTTCTGGCGTCGAATAGCTCCAAGGATTATTGCTGCTATGCCATCGGAAACGTTTAAAACGTCAGTAAGTGTAGAATGTTGTATTCTTTCTGTTTTTTTTTATTTCTACACTGTTATTCCGACTATAAAGTCTAAAGAATTTGTCAAGATTATAGTACCAGTCAGTTATGACCATGTTCACGATAAGATTTTCCTGTTCCCCTTTTCGTTTAATTTGTCGATGATATACCTATACAATATAGACTTTGTTCAGTTAATCATTTTCGTAAATAAGAGATCTTAATTAATATTCGAATAACGCTCAAGTTTTAGTCGCTGGAATAAAATACCGTACGTTTGTACATTTTAAGTTCTTCATAAATTGACAATCCACATTTTTCATACACATAGTTCCCTTTATCATTTTGAAAAGAGCAAGAACAAAGATTCTAGCAGAATAGCATGAATTCATTTTATTCATGCTATTCTGCTAGAATCTTTGTTCTTGCTCTTTTCAATCCACATTTTCTCTCAATGATCTTTACTGTTCTAGTTTTGGTTGATTAATTGTTTTGCTATATTTATTTTCCTGTGGATTTTGTACCTTTCGATTATTAAGTTGGAATTTCATAGTTTGGATTTCTAACCATTAGATCCCGACTTAAGTGTTTTAAGGTTGAGAGCTCACTATAAGTCCTAAAGGTCATGAGTCTGATCTTTGTCAGGGTTGTGGATGTCTACTGCTAAAGAATCCCATTCTACGTCAAAAACACATATCTACCTCTTTCGACTCTCGATAGTTTTCTAGCTACAGTCAATCTGTGACATAAACAATAGAATTTATAATCTTCAAAATTCTTTTTACAAATATATATGCGACTTTCAACCACACTATTAAGAGTATTGAAGACTATCAGTTATACGATTCATTCGCCTTAACCGAAATAGTTAGAAGAGAGTGTATGTGTCGGTAGTTTGAAACCGAAACTTTGATGAGCTAAAAGTTGAACTCATTTATCACTGAACTATCCCTTCACTTTATGATTGATTAGTGTATTTTTTGTTTAATAAACAAACAATCGAATTATAAAATTGTTCACAGTTTATACTTCAGTTACCATAGTAAACGTCTTGTTGTGTTCAAAAAAAAACTTTCTATAGGTAGAATCATTGATATCTGTGCATCAATTAGAAGATCCCAATATGATGACAGAATTTGAAAGAAATTGGGATGAAATTATGGAAAGTACAGCGAATTTTAATTATCGTGAAGAATGTGTAGGTTGATTTGTATTAAATTATTTATATTTATTTGAACACGTAAATATTGGTACAAGGAGTCGTGAAGGACCAACACAAGCCAGTCCTTTGCAGCTTTCTTTCATACCACGACACCATGTCATGCACTGACCACCTCTCCACTTTTTCCAACCAGTCCCAGAGTCGGCAAATAATACACGACGTGGAATTCTCTGGGACGACATTCGGAGAACATGTCCAAGCCACCGAAGTCGAAGTTTCAAGATGGTGACACCGATTGCATTATCGTCTCTGTGCCCGAACACACGATGCGGAACCTCTGCATTACTAACATGATGTTGCCACCGGATGTCAACAATCCTTCGGAGACAGCGATGATCGAACACAGAGAGTCGTCTAACATCCTCAACTCGGAGAAGCCAAGTGCCACAAACATAGAGCAAAACTGCTCTCACCGACGCGTTGTAGATCCGACCTTTTACAACCAGACTGATATCACGAAGGCACCAAAGTTGGCCCAGATTAACATAAGTCGCTCTGGCTTTCACTATACGTGCATTGATCTCATCACTCACACCCCCACTAACACTTATGCAACGACCTAGATACACGAATTTCTCGACTAATTCTATCTGCTCACCATCTAGGGTGAGTACAGGATTAGAATCCTTCCAGTCTTGTAGAAGTACTTTGCACTTCGAAGGCGCAAAGCACACACCGTACCTACGGACACTGATTGCCAAGTGATCTATATATATTGTTATATATATCATTATTTACCTGTCAGATGGTGAGATCCAAATAAAAATTGTAAATTATGAATGAATATTGATTTTAATCTTTGTTTTGATATTTGTTGTCAGTAAGACGTGTTCAAACCTTTTCTCTATGAAATTTTCACACATTATCACAGTCAAACTAAATATCATAACTATTTGAACCCAATGTTCAACTGGGTATTTGCATTTAAACAAGTTCATTCAAATATCTGGGCTACCTGTTCCTGCCATCTAGATATTTCAACAAGTTATCTATCTTTGTTTGTTTTAATATATCATTATGTCTATTAATCGCACAACCTATACTGCTGCGTTTCTGAAAAATGTACAACCTTTCGTTATTAAAGTTACAAAAAGCTCAAAAAGAGAGAATATGGTTGCTGGCAATGTACAACGAAAGGAATGTACATCATTCCCATGTTCATTTACTGGACTGATAACATCTAGCTGGCGACCACTCAGTATTTATCGCGAGGACCGACCAAGAAGAAAGAAACGGAAACTTGTTGAAATACTTTGTGCTGAGAATTCTATATTGTACCAATAATATAATATTGAATAAAGCTATTAATAATAATAATAATAATAATACAATCCTCTTGTATTCATAAAAAAAGCCATCATACTGTTATGACTTTTGCCCTGTTATTTATCATATGACAAGTTCGGCAATCAGAACACTAACTTACACGACCTTGCCCCCTTGTGCTAAACCCATGACACGTTAACCAGCACGATCAACCTTGAATCAACATTGAGTGATAATTGGTCCTCTGTATAGTAACTTCTTGACTAGTCCTGTTCGCTTGAGTCCAGAATACAATCTCAGTCAGTCAGTCAGTCAGTCAGCTACAACGTAGGACCAGGCACATGTATGCATCGGCCCAGGTTGCCATACCTCATTAGCACAGCAAGATGAACACTGGATTCATAGGAGTGGTTAGGTCAAAGGTGGTAATATATAGGAGAAAGATTGCAATAAGGATATAGTATAGGAAGAAAGAATTAGTTCGTAGAAAGAAAGATGTGAAGTGATCTTAATCTCTTAGTTTAAGAGAAGACAGAGAGTGTATACACCGACGCCATTGTGATCGATTCTGAGCCATGTCACCAAGGGTCTCCAACCATTGGTTACGAAAGTCACGCGGACCCCAACCAAGTAGTCTGCATCTACCAACATGGCTCAGACTAGAAGTTAGTGACTTCAGGCACTGATGCCACGTTTTGGTTTGGCCGCCCCTAACTTTCTTCCAACCATCCCCTACACCGGTTAGCATTGCACGTCGCGGTAATCGGTGTTCAGGCATACGTAATACGTGGCCCAACCATCTCAGTCGATGAAGATTCATAACCTCATCAACTGATTTACCATCATTCCCTAATACCCTGCGTCTAACCTCACTATTACTTACCCGGTGATCCCAGCAGATGCCAGCAATATTTCTAAGGCATCTGTGGTCAAATACTAGTAGCTTACGGGTGTCTTCTACTCTTAAGGGCCATGTTTCGCTGCCGTAAATTAAAACAGAACGGACAGCCGCGCAGTATACTCGTCCTTTTATTGATAGACGGATATCTCGCCTCCGCCAAAGGTGACGTAAGTTGGCAAAAGCCAAACGAGCTTTACGAATCCGTGCTGAGATTTCGTCAGACACCAACCCATTAGGGCTGATCAGACTTCCAAGATAAGTGAAGTTGTCAACACGTTCGACTACTTCACTCCCTATCCTTAGTTCAGGTGTTGACGCAGACCAGTCCTGAAGCAACAACTTGCATTTAGAGGGAGAGAAGCGCATCCCAAACATTCTGGCATTGTTGCTTAGTGCTACCAGAAGACTCTGCATTTTGTCAGCGTCTTCACCAAACAGGACTATGTCATCTGCATATTCTAAGTCGATAAGTGGACCTCCTGGAAGGAGATCAATACCCGAGAATTCAGTCGACGAGAGTGTTATTTCCATCAATAGGTCTATGATGAAGTTAAACAAAAATGGAGAAAGTGGGCAGCCTTGACGGACACCACTTGAGGTTGTAAAGGTAGATGACAGTTCGCCATAAGCCCTGACTCGACTAGTAGTGTTCGAGTAAAGAGCCTTCACAAGGTTTATGTACTTCTGAGGTACGCCTTTCAATGACAGACACTGCCACAGAGTCTCGCGGTCTACAGAGTCAAATGCTGCTTTTAAGTCAAGAAAGACCACCATCGTCGGACGCCGATAGGTATGCCTGTGTTCTAGAACCTGACGAATGGTGAATATGTGGTCGATGCAGCCACGACCAGGTCTAAAGCCAGCTTGGTTCTCTCGTGTTTGTAGTTCACGAGTCTTAGTTAGGCGTTTGATAATTATCGAGGCCAGTATTTTAGATACTATGTTTGTTAAACTAATCCCTCTGTGGTTGTCACAGGATGATTTTGACCCTTTCTTATATATTGGGACGATAAGTGATTGCGACCAGTCAGATGGGATAACGTCTAACTCCCAGATCTTAGCTAAAATATTAGTCAACCTAATCGCTAAAATTGGACCACCATCCTTAAAGACTTCTGGAGCCAGTCCATCTGGACCAGCTGCCCTTCCTCGTTTCAGATTAACTATAGCCTTCTCAACTTCAGCAAGAGTTGGGGGACCTACTTCAATGTTCCATTCACTTTGTCTGGGAATGGAGGGTAGTTGTAGAGTAGCTGAAGGCCAGCTGAACTGTTCTCTAAAATGTTCCGCCCATCGTTCTAAACGTCTGGACTGGGAGCAGATGAGAGTATCATCTTTTTCCGAAATAATCTCACTTACACTTGACTTATTAATTCCAGTTTCTTTTATTAGTCTGTAAAGCTGTCTTGTGTTCCCTATAGTCGCCGCCTTTTCCATCTCTTTTGCTTTCGTTACCCACCACTGCTCACGGTCGTTCCTTAGACTTTTTCTTAACCTAGATCTGATTTGTTTACGCTCTTCATCATGTTCAGAACCTGATGGGACGAGTTTGCGAGAATCCATCAGTGTGACAGACCTTGAAGAAATCCACTGGTTCCTTGTAACTCTGTGGTTTAAGTCACTAACAGATGTCACTGCTGTTTCCACAGCTGCTTGTATGTCCTTCCAAGCAACATCTGGGTCAGCCTCGTCTTCACAACTACCTAAGTGTGACCTCAGTTGTTCCTGGAACCTACTTTTGGTTTTCTCGTTACTCAACTCAGTTCTAATGGGTCTTTTTAATGTGGCTTTTTTGCGTCCATTGAGGCGCAAGCAGATGCGTGCCCGTATTAGGGCATGGTCGGAGTCCAAGCAGGTGCTCCAGAATGAACGACAATCTTCTACCGACCCTCTCCAACGATGACTGATGGCAATATGGTCTATTTGAGTCCATCGTTGGTTTGGTGTAGGGGGTCGCCATGTTAGACGATGTCTCTCCTTATGCTTAAAATTTGTGTTTGCTAAAAATAAACGATTGTCTGAGCATAGCTGCAGCAGACGATCACCATTATCTGTTCGCTGTGTCGGAATACTAAAATATCCACCTAAATGCCTTTCTGTTTGGTTTAAACTGCCTATCTGAGCATTAAAATCACCTACAATCTCAGCTTACACTGAATGAATTATGTATTTCAGAAATATGCAGTTTATACACAAGTAAACCAGACCGCATCATTCTGTAAAATAGAAAATAACAAATATACAGAATCAAGCCAAAAGTGGCTGTGAGCGCGAGATACTGTAACTAATAAATTAAGAAAACATAAGGATATTAAATCGTATAATAATAGTCAACAAATCAAATGAAAGTTTATAATAAAAGGAATATGAATACACGTATAATATAGATACTTAATAGTTTTCTAATAAAAATATATGTAATAATAGTCCATAAATAATTCCTAGCAGTTACCATCCATTTATTCTTCGTTATGATATAACACATACTATTATGTCTTTCAACCTCTGATTAAAACTACATGACAATGGTATCAATCGGAATCACGACTTCTGTGATTTAGTGTTTCTAACTTGTTTAGTTACACGTTCAACTGGCACTAGTAACTTTGATCCGGTAGCTAGGTCTCTATTAGTCCACTACTCACTGACTCCTCTCTATGCCCAGTCTTCAGTTCGAAAGTCAGCGACCAACTTCTAATATATTTATATTTCAAATAGATTTAGTTTATATACAGACATAAAAGACCATATCACATAAAATGAAAAATAACATCCAAAAGTGACTGTAAATAAGAGAGACCGTATGTGATAGACGGGCAAGAAATTAAGAATAGTAAGTTATGTAACAGTAGTTAATAAGTCAACCGAAAGCTTATGTTCAAAAGAGCATTTATATATTATTATAATCTAGTTACCTAATAATTATACAACAAGAATATGTATAATAATAGTCCATAAATCAGTCTTGGAAGTTACCTTTCCGTTATTTTTTGTCTTGATATAACACTCTTATGTCTAATAACCACTAATGGTAATCTCTGGGCTTATAGTGAGAAGGTTTTTACCAATGAAGTCATCCATAGCAGTCAATGGTGATCGTAGAATATCATGAATCGAATAAAGTTAAAAATGTCGAATATTGGATGTCGACTCACTGGTCCTACATTGTAGCTGACTGATTGACTCACTGATGATCTGCGGATTAAGCTCTCGCTTCAAACACCTGGCAGTCTTGAGTTCTATCTTGAGTTAGGATTGTGCTTGCAGATTGTTGAGAAATTCAGTGTTCCCCGTTTTTATTTGATCAATTTATACAATCATATTTCTAGAGCAATTAAGTTGCATGTAGTGGTTAAATAAAAGATTATTGTCGTATATAAAAAGTATTTATTGAAAGATCTTTTTCCTCTCCCCTCCCGCCTGTCACACACACACACATACAAAGGATATTACACTTAGTAACTGATTTACAAGTAAATAATAAAATGGGAAAAGATCGGTAAGACAAAATGAATAGTAGTTTCATCGTTTACATTATAGGCCGGTCTTAACTAACTATAATAAGCCATGAAGAACGTGAAAAAAGCGCAGTCCTAGCACATGACTCTCCAAGTGCACCAATCCACGACTCTGTTGGAAATGAACCCAGAAACATCAGGTCACGTAGTCTGATTGTCAAGCGCTCACCGCAAAATCTGAAGGTCGTTTTTACGACTCATGTTGGTATCATGGATTCAAACTCCGGAGTCGTTTTATACTAGGATGAATCAGTTGTCCAGTGCTTCTTGGTTTTCAATAATTGTTTGAAAAAGATCATAAGTCTATGATTTAAACCATAAAACTTAACTGTCTGCCCAAACTTCTATAGTGTAATTGCCTTATGATAACAGTAAAGGAGATAGTAATATTATACCGTATATTTTTTTAGGTGAAAATTTTGTCAACTATTACTCAAGAAAGTTTATTGAATTTCTTCTTAACAGAATATTTGGATGTTAAAAAACAACGTTCTTTATTTGTACAGGTAAGTAAACATTGTATTGATGAGAGGTTAATTTAGGCCACTGGTGAGACTTTAATTTATGGACGACCTTTAAACGAAGCTAAAGTAACCTTGAGAATGTTTACTTACTTACTAGAGCTAAATGAGTGTTATAAACCTGTGGGAAGAATAGGGATTATGATTTACAATTGATGGTTAGGGTTAGGAATTAGACGTACTGACATCAGCTAAAATGCCAAAACGCTATTCAGACAAATAAGTGAATGAATTTCGCTCCAAAATACAAGACCTGTTATCATCAATCTGATTGATACGTCCATAAATTATAGTCTCGCCTAGTTCAGCTACATTCACTCTATATCTTACTCTCGATTTTCAAATGTAATATTCTTTCTTTTTTTCCGCCTTAATTCTATCTACACTGATTATAACTAACTGCATATGCAGTCAATTGAAATACCATTTGACTCATTTATTTAAAAATCAGGGTATTGATAAATCATTCATAAAAAGTTCCAAACTTAATTTCGTGGAACGCTGGGATACTAATCTTAAAAAAAAATCATTGAGATTCATGAGGGGCATTAGAAAACTATTTATAATCATGGTTTATTATTGATCAATGATTGTAGAGCTTACTGAAACAGCCCCAGACTTAATCAAATTTAGAGCATATTTAGCAGATCAGTTGAAATCTTTGAATCTGAGATCCAATTATCCACATCTTACAAACTCATTCAATTTGTGAAATAGAATAACTGTCCAGTACAGTTTTTTCTTGTGTATAGAGCTTCGATCAATGAAGCTTCGTGTACTTATTCGTTGTTTTGAAATTAATCAACTCTTCTGCTTGAATTTATTTAAACATTACTCTATATCGAGATCTAGATTGTAGCTGCTTCTACCCTGATGTATAATGATTAGGCTTACATATTATAATGACCCAACTGATCTATGTCGACTGTAACATTTGTTCTGTAGTGTCTGGTACTATAACAAGCTAACAGGTTATTCTGGCTTCTGGATGGGCCAATTTATTCAATCTTTTCATGCCACATTTTGACCTTGTTGATTATTCGCTTCTTAACCCTGAATGTTTTCTGTATGATCGCAGGTGTGTCAATTGCTCACTCTGTTCATTACGTGTTTGTAAATTATCTTTGGTTTGACTATAAATATTGAGATACGCTTGGTCATATTGAGTTTGCTCGCTCATCTTCTCTGCTGCGCATCGCTTCGTTTACCATTTTTCCAACGAAATTATCCGTTTTATTCTCTTCTCTTCGTTTGTGCCTTTTCACAATGAAGAAGGGCAGGTCAGAAAATGTCGGCTGTAAAACTAATGCATCTCATAGTTCTCAATTAAATCCTTTCATCACTTCTTAGTATTTCTTCCGTCTCTACCATCAGTACTTCTCCTATGACTTCATCTTTATTCTCCAGGCATCACCAATAGTAACGATTCGAGGTCATATAGTTTTATTCCCGGTCATTACCGAAACTCGTTTGTTAACTTACGTACTGGAGCTTTCATTGTTCTTTGTCAGATCGGACAAATGTTTTGTTACAATAATCAAAGGTAATAGAAGGGTTAGACGAAATGAAGTGATATCAGAAATAAACTATAATTAAGATCATGAGAATATGAAAAATGACTAAAAAAGATGGGCATATGAAATAGAATAATGGTAATAATAGTTTAAGGCCATGATAAAGACAAGAGGTACTTTCTTTGTACGTTATTTAATCCAGCACTACAAACGTTCTCTTACATCATCACTTCTGCCTGACGTTTGCGCTGATGATGTCGTTCAGAAGAACGATGAAAGATCCACGGCTAAACCATCCACCTCAGAGGACAAAACTTCACCAAAAAGTTACGTCGTCATGACTATTTCTTGTTCATATATCCTCAAGGGATTAAAACTTACAATTAAAATTTTCATATGTACATACGATTATGCAGCTTGATAATGAATTCGTTGGAAAAAGATCCATTCGCTGAATTTCGTGTTTTTTAATATACGGTGTTCTAGTCTGGTTAAATTTGATCAAACGTTATCCGTTGAAGCCGACTGGGGACAGTTCCCGTTTCTCAAGGCTCACAAATTTACCGTGTGAATGTAATCTTATGGAGACCTGCTTCGGTTTGGGCACCCGGGCAGTATCACATCCCTCACACATATCAAATGAGATTTATATGGCACATATGTATTTGGTGCCTCCTTGTACCAATATCTATGTGATCAAATAAATAAATAATTTTGTGGAGAAGCCGATACCCCGGGTCTTGACAAACGGTCAGCGCACCAGGGGCAAGTATGGTCTATGCGCATACTGGTAACAAGTTTTCACCCATGCATTCTTTAGCATACACATACTTATATTTACCCACCTGGAAGTGTAGATGGTCACCACTTCATTTGAATGTATTCGCTTCAACTGACTATCACTTACTCATTACATGCATACCACTGGTACAAAGACTTTCGCCCTTGAACTGAATGACAAACATATAATCATAAGCACTGTTTCATGGAGGGTTTACGGTCATCTCTTTTTTTATTAGCTACCATATTTTTGATTATCTATTCGACCTGAATAATTAGGCCTCTGATTTTATTAGATATATGGGAGACATTTTTTTCAGCTTACCATTTCTTGCGGTAACAGATGCTCGTACCCTTTGCATATATCTACACTCATAAACTTTACAAGCCGAAACTCATTTAATTCTGATACATAAGCATCCTCATCAGACAGCCTGTAAGGTTTTAGTAAACCCCGAGATTTGAACCTGATTAGTCCGATTTACAGGAGTGAAATGGATTAGTCCAATCTCCACTGACCATTCATATTAGCTAACACGATTGCTCTCACTACATAGTAGCACCAAGTTTAGGCTTTGAGTCGGATTTCGCTGTCATTATTATTACTTTCTCTTGTTAAATGATTACCATGTTTCACTTTAAACCGTAACATGGTCATTATCGATCAGTGTTTTTTTCTTTTCTAGCTGACCTTTCAATTCATTTCATTTTTAGAATTGATCAGATGATCCATTATTATTATTGTTATTACTATTGTTACACTTCATATTGAGTGTTTTATCTATTTTCCAAGTATATTTGTGTTGCGTGTGTAGGTTATGAGTTGTTTATTGTATACATTAATTTCAATACTGTTGAATAGATTTCCATGATCAAGAGAGAAAAAAACAATAGATTTTACAAATGTAATATCATTATATACTAATTTATTTATTATTAATAAGTACACATTAGTGTGATTGGTTATGACCTCTAATTTAAGTATGATTACTAGTAGTAAGTTATCGGTCGTTTAAATTGAAGTAGATGAAGCGAGACTTTTCCCTAAATGCACTGGTACGGACGAGGGTGAGAAGAGTCAACTCTCCCTCTGCAAATGCTCTCACATGGCCACGCGTATACAACCACTGTCAGGGAAGTTCTACTCATTGCCTTCTCGCGCCACCGGTGTTATTTACGAAATTGAGAGGACGACAATCGAATGTCCGACGCTTTAACCGGGTCAGTGGATATAGAGGATCCACCTAGGGGAGTTGGAAAACTCTGAATTCAAATTAATAGTGCACATGGTATCCAGGATCATAGTCACCGGTCACCACGGGACTGCATCTCCTGACGTTGTTCCACTGCCGTGTGGGTCAGACCTTTAGGTCGAAGGCTTCAGATCTGAGTCCCTAAGTAAACCACCCGCTCCGTTTTGGGCACCCGGGCAGTATCATAGCCCACACACAGACAAAGTGACTTGTATGGTGCATATGTATTCGGGGCCTCTTTGTACTAATATTTATGTGTTCAAATAAATAACAGTTACACTGTGATATTCAGATTCATATACTAAATGAAGCAACAACAAAAAATGATCAAAAAGTGGCTAAATATAATAACATTTATTGTACATTCAAGATAATCTGAATAGTCATAGTCCCTTCATCAAAATTATCCATAAAATCTCGTGTTTCTGTTAATTTTTCATAAAAATCCAACAATCGATTTTAATCAGGTCGTATATTGTGAAACTTATGAATCGGCAAGACTATAATTTATGAACGTATCAATCACATTAATGATAACAGGTTTTGTATTTTGGCGCGAAATTCATTTCCATCCATTTGGCTAAGTAGCGTTTTGGCATTTTAGTTGAATTCAGTTCTTGATGAAACCTCTAAGTCTAATTCCTAACCTTAACCATTAACTGTAGGTCATAATCCTTATTCTTCACACAGGTTTATAACACTCAATTAGCCCTAGTACGTTGGTGGACGTTTTCTACGTCACTTTAGCGTCGCTTGAAAGTCGTCCATAAATTATAGTTCCAATCATTAATCTTGTCTTTGAATATCCACGTTATATAATAATCAATATTGTGTTTTTTCTATTCTGAAAATCAATTACATACAGGTTGATGCAATTGCCAATCCAGAATTGACCAAAACTACTGTCTCCAATTCTTATTGTTTAGATTTTGATACGATTGACACGAATTGGGAAACATTGAGAAATGAATATACAAGTATAAACAGTATTGATATAACCAACGCTTTGATGACATGCGGTTATGATGAAAAACAAGCGATGGATTTTATGATGAAATCGTATTCTAATAGTAATGGTAATACAATTGATAGCAGTCTACTATTGGAGCATGGAGAAAATGAAGCGAACGAGCAGAAGGCTATGGTTTTCATAAATAATTTGTTTAAATTCCGTTCAACTATTCAATATCAAACTGGTCGAAACGTTTAATAATAATTGTTGTCATTGTAGTATTCTTTCTCCAAAAAAAAACAGAACAAACTTTGACTTAAAATGGTGTAATGTATAACATTTTCTTCATATTTGAGAAACGTACATTATTAGCATAATCCATTTTCTTTGCTTTATCAACATGGTGATAATTCACGCTTCCTACGTCTACATGATGTGATTACAATTAACTTGGTATTTATGTATCTGTGTGTTAGGGGCGCCAGGGTGATTAATCCGAATTTCGCTATATTTAATAGGCTTGTATTGGTAGTTGTTTCTTTTATTCCTTATCTTTGTACTAAACCTATTTGCTGTTCTCGTTTTTTCGTTTATATTTGTACATATGTTCATGTGTACTACTGTACCGTTGATGAATATATAAATTCGATAGGCAAATATATGCATACATTTGACAATAAATGATAGTTTTTTTTCTTTCTGGGGTATCGGTTGTTATATTTTTCTAGAATGAAGAAACGACCTTTTTTTGTCAATGAGGTGATTTGATATAGGATCATTAGACTTGTATACTAGAAATTAGACTGGTCACTAACTCGATCGATAATCCAGATAGTACGTCACGATACTAGACCAATGTCATACGCAGATTTAGTTCTAAACTACCCAGCTTACGACTAAGAATAAAATATAAGCAAAAACAAAAAAAATAAGCAGCCAAGACAGTGAACTCTCAGTGGAATCGCCTAGACTATAATTTGTGGACGAACCAATGAAATCAAAAACAGTAAGTCTTGTGGTTTGTGTTGAGTCGGCTTCCGGAGAACTTCAACGGAGCCTCCAGAGGCCCAAAAGGAGCCGAAGGATCCTAGACAATCAGAGTACGATGGGACGTTCGAGAATTCCAGCGTGGCGTGCTATTATTGGTCGGTAGCATAATATGACGTTAACGGATTGGCTGAAATATGATGTTGATTTAACAGACGCCAACATCTATAAATACCCTTGATTTTCTGTACAAAAATGAACCTTGGGATAAAGTATTTTCTCTCATACTTGTGTCTTCTCTCTGGTGTTCAAGTCGCTGTGTAGTTCTAGACTGCGGGTTACCATAATAGCTTAGGAAAACGAATATAGCGTTCGATCGATAAGACATATCAGTTTAGTACGAAATCTGTTCATTCATATAGTTAAATACCATTTTGGCATTAGAGCTGATGTTCTAAGTACTTAAAACACTATAATTAAAACATTATGGACGATTGACACACTATGATTTGTTATACATCGTTGAAAAGTAATATTCTTATTGAGAAGCTGAAAAATGAAACGGGTCTAGTGTTGATGGCCACAGCGACCTTAGATCTCAAGGAGAAACTACTTCAGACTAATTACATATTGTTCTTTCATGCATATCCTGTTTCAGCTTTCGTTATCTTAATTCTAAACCTTTTGAACCTTACTATGGGCAATAAAAATCAGTGAAATACCAATGTGTATATGTAGGTGTGCGTCATTTCCCCTTTTCTCTATAGGAAAACATTTTAGTGAAGACCGTGGACACATGTTCAAAACCCCAATTAATTCAATATTACAACTCTCTGCTCTAAAATTTGACAATTTCACACATACTGTAAACTAGAATCGTCTACTCCGAATATGATGAATTTTTTTGAATGTATATATATATATAACCAATATAGCTAGTTAGAATTGTTACACTGTAGATTAGGGTACAAGTACTATCTAAAAATCAATCAAATATTCAATTTTATTGAAAATGTATACAATTTGACAGTGTTTGCCGAATAATTCCTCCTTCAACAACAAAAATCACCATAAAGTAACTTACCATTAACACAAACATCAATGTCATTTACAAGAATAAGAAACAAAATTTTTTAAAAGGCAAAAATATTTGTGCAATTAATAAAAAGATTGGTTAAGTATTACTGATAATAATCATAGTAATGAAAGTATAATGAGAAACCTTAATGAAGAAAGGATACTTTGAGTGCTTCTTGTTCTAGAAAAACGATTTTCTATATATATAAATGTAATTTTGTATAAATATATCGGTATATTTGTATCTGATATGTATGTCTATGTGAAAGTGTACTTGAATGTATGTATGAAAGTGAATTTGTGCGTAATTTGAATAAATGTTAAGTGTATTAGTGTGCACATATATCTATGCATATACGTACACGTTTGTGTGTGTATGTGTGTGTGAGTGCGTATATATTCATATATGTATGTATCACCGAGACACAAACACAAAATAATAATAATCTCAAATTAAAATAAAGAAAAACAGTGCATACTACTTTTAGAAATTCTTTTTTTTGTACAAGTTATATAAACGCTAGGTTCTTCTTTGTCAAGAAACCAAGATACAAAGAAGCACACCCACACATCGTTTTTTTCTATTAAAAAAATGAAAAAGGGGGGCAAAAATCAAACTACACAGGTAAGTAAATAATAAGTAAGTAAATAATCTGTGTTTTTCATTATAGAAACAATAAACAAATGATGAGATCTGAGCAACAAGAAAGTAGTAGAGAGAAAAGAAATAAACTCTAAAAATCGAACAGCACCGAAAAGTAAATGAGCACACACACACACACACAACAATAACAACAACATTGGAATGGGATAAAAGTTTCTTCAATAAAAATGATACAAATAGTATGTTGAAAAAAAACACATATCTATACATACAAACACTCACACATACACAATCTTATTTATCTGTCGGGATCAGGACAAAATTGATTATGGTATACCTTGTAATTTCTCTTTCAATTCAATATTTTCTGTCATTAATTGTTCACACATGAATTTCAATCGATTAACTGTTTGTAAATTCACACTGGATAATGATGTTGACGCTGATGTCAGTGTTGATGAGTCCGATGTTGAAGTGAGATTTCTCAAGAATGGAAACCATGTCGTTGAATTAGGGAAATTTGATGATGATGAAGATGGAGTAGTTGCAAACGTATACGGTGAAATACTTGACGGAACTGATCGATACTGACTTGAGGATACTGCTGAAGTTGGTATTGAAGTAGTAGTAGTAGTAGCAGTGACAGTGTCATTGTTACCATGATAAATTAATGGAGACTGAAGGTAATTATCTAATCCCTTTTGTATAACTTTGCTTTTAGCCATTAAATCTGCTTCCAAACGTTTTTTACATCTTCGAAGAGTACAATTTTCTTCTTGAACTTCTGACATTCGATCGATTATAGCCTGGTAAAAATTATTATTATATATAAATATATGATTGAAGACTATATAAATGGTAAGATGATGCTACTGATAAACTTTAAAATACACAATTCTATTCTATATATTCCGGTTATCATTTGCCTCAACAAGTAATTATGACATGAAAATAACTTTAATACGATATCTTACAAAAATACGTACCGATTTGTTTGAAAACATTCATCTCCAAAGTCTCTAGAAACTCAGAAATGTCGGTAAACATTTTATTCAATTAAAAATCGAAAAGAAGCTCAGCAGAAACATCCAGAATCATGATGCCACAGTTTTGATTAGATATTTACCTGTATACTGCTACAGACATTTTCAGAAGTCTAAGGTCGTGTTCAACTCTATAGGCACCCTTGTTTTTTTGTACGGAAACTAACTTTTAAATAAAGGTTTTCTTCTCAATACATGCCTCTTCTTTATTGTTCTAATTGACGTTTAGAAGTAGTTGAGATTATGGTATGTGCTTTGCACCTTCGAAGTGCAAAGTACCTGTTATTCGAAGCAAGAAAAGTAGTTTCCACAGATATAGAGAGTTCATCATTTGCGTGTGGACTGCGATACTGCCCGGGTGCCCAGACCGAAGCAGGTGATTTTCTTAGGGGGCCACACCCCGAGCCTTTGACCTAAAGGTCTGACCCACAAGGCAATGGAGCATCGTAAGGAGATGCAATCCCATGGTAGCCGGTGACCTAAAATTGGTTCATGCGCCATTTGTTCCCGCAAGATACTGGAGCCCATGTGGACCATTGGTTTGGGATCCGGTTAAAACGCCGGACATTCGCTTTTCGTCCTCTCATTTTCGTAGACACCTCCGCCACGAGAAGGCAGTGAGTAGGACTTCCCTGGGAGAGGCTATAAACGTGTGGCCGTGTGAGAGCATTTCGAGATGGAGGACGGACTGTCCCTACTCTCGGCCGTACCAGGGCATTTGGGGGCTATGGTATGTGCTTTGCACCTTCGAAGTGCAAAGTACTTCTACAAGACTGGAAGGATTCTAATCCTGTACTCACCCTGGATGGTGAGAAGATAGAATTAGTCGAGAAATTCGTGTATCTAGGTCGTTGCATAAGTGCTGGTGGGGGTGTGAGTGATGAGATCAATCCACATATAGTGAAAGCCAGAGCGGCTTATGCTAATCTGGGCCAACTTTGGTGCCTTCGTGATATCAGTCTGGTTGTAAAAGGTCGGATCTACAACGCGTCGGTGAGAGCAGTTTTGCTCTATGTTTGTGGCACTTGGCTTCTCCGAGTTGAGGACGTTAGACGACTCTCTGTGTTCGATCATCGCTGTCTCCGAAGGATTGCTGACATCCGGTGGCAACATCATGTTAGTAATGCAGAGGTTCCGCATCGTGTGTTCGGGCACAGAGACGATAATGCAATCGGTGTCACCATCTTGAAACACCGACTTCGGTGGCTTGGACATGACCTACGAATGTCATCACAGAGAATTCCACGTCGTGCATTATTTGCCGACTCTGGGACTGGTTGGAAAAAGTGGAGAGGTTGTCAGTCTATGACATGGTGTCGTGGTATGAAAGAAAGCTGCAAAGGACTGGCTTGTGTTGGTCCTTCACGACTCCCTGGCTGGAGTCCTAGAGATGGTGCAACACAGTGGCTGGAGACGTTATCAGATATGGCTCAGAATAGAAGCCAGTGGCGATCCTGCTGTAACCTTCTTTTACTTTCTTCATAAAAAGTGGTTGTGTCTTCCTTAACTGAGAGATTTCTTCTGATTGTACCTTTCCGTTCCCTCAT